AGTAGAGCGGAACCGGATTTTACCAGCATATTACATATTATGATTGTTTCTCATTTGAATTTTCACTCTATCCATTTTATTAAGGATATGAATGTCAGACTGTCTTACGTGACGTCACAGCGTCAACTTACAAAAAAGATAATAGCCTTAATTAACCGAATCGGTCCAACGCCGATCGGTCACACTATATTGGCTTCCTGCGTTGTTTCATTATGACCGAACGGTCTTGAAGCTTTTAGCCATCCATTAGCAATATCTGTTAAGGATGTGTAATTTGAGATAGGCTTTTCTTTCTCGGACAAGAGGCAGAACCTCCTACGAGGTTTCCGGGGGTCACGCGGGGTATTGGAACTTGACGGTCAACAGATGTTGGGAGCAGACCACGGGCCCAAGGATATTTTAGGGCCCTATCCTATTTGAGACAGTCCGACTGACCTAACTTTCATTTTGGCGAAATAAACAAACGGCGCGGCGTGTGCGAAATTTTAAGACATGTCGGAGTGAAAAACCAAACAACCATTGCCCTGTCATATTATTTTTTAAGAGATTTTATGACCTGGTAACTAAGACCTTTAAGTCATGTCTTATTTTAATTTATATTATTCATATTTTTATGAAAAATGATATTATGGAGTGAAATGAAATGAAGATGATTAATTTGAGACACTAATCAACTGGGATGAAATTAAATAAAATGAATTGAGATGATGTCATATATAATAATAAGACCATAGAATATATTTAATTTAGAGTAATTTAGACATTACAACCATTTGTTTACATTTTAACAATACTTGATTCTGCTATGTTAGTAGCAACATAAGACAGTGTTTATTTAATCTTAGCATCATTGTATATATAAATTTTTTTTTCTTCACGTTTCCGTGTATACCGTTTTGACTGGTACCCTGGGCTATGAGCGGTTTTGTTATACAGCGGAATAACGCAGGCGATTGCGGCCGAAATATGACTGTTTGTTATTTCACGTAACGCATGTATTCTGGATAGGTAGAAAAACTGAAAAAAGTTAAGTTCCTTAAGACGTGCGTTTCATAGTTGAAACTAGTTAAAGCATGTAGCATAGTTACAGCTAGCACTAGTAGATTTAAACGTTTGAAAGACAAAGTAAATCGTTTTTAATGCTTAGATGGTTGAACTAGCTTACGGCCCGTCTGGTGTTAAATAGTTACCGTTTTAAAGCACAATGGCTGCCCCACTTCTCAAACAGAAACGAATTATTGCTTCGCGGCACAAATTTTGCAGGAAGGTGTTGGTGTATCCTTACAGACTCACAAGTAGCCCTACCAGCAGTAAGAACTGCGCTTATCAGATCATATTCAAAGTAACGATTTGAGTGTTTATCACACATTAGCAGTTGTTACAAAATGCAATGTTTTCCTCTTCTCAGCAGGTCGTGTTTCCGATTCGGTGGTAGATTCTGCGAAGCACTGCTCTTGCTAGGGCCAGTGTTAGCAACACTCCGGTTTGAGCCCCGTGAGCTCACCTACATGTTAGGGCGCAGCAAGAAATAGCCTCTCAAGGCTATCAAGTTTTCCTTAAAAATCTACACTCGTTTTTTTTTTTATGATTGAAAGATTACTGGTGGCCCGGAGGCCTTTCCAGCTTCACCAGGACAGGTGGGCGAGCAAAGGCTCAGCCAGGAGGGGTGGGATTTGCTAACAACTGCCCGAGCGCCTCCGAAGGAGACCTAACAACTCAAGAGCAATTGCTTTGCGAATGGAGCTACTACCGGATCGGAATCGCGACCCACTCAGAAGATCCGGCGCGAAACTCAGCGGGCTGATGCATGGGTTAGGTCTACACTCCTTTACACTACACGCCTCTACACCGTTTTATGACGTCAATAAAAATCTTGCTCACAAATAGGACGTAAAAAAAATAAAACAATAAAAGGAATTGTCTCGAAACGAAAACGTTTATTATAGTTTATTACTCTTAACTGATAACGAATGTACTTCCTGAAATTTGACATTTAATAATAAAGCGTAGGTACTATGTACATTCTTTATCGAGAAATTGAAAACCGATTATTTTAATTTTTTTAAAAAGCACGTACCGAGTAATCTTGTTATAGCATATGATTAGATTTATTTTATTAATATTCGAATTACATTTTGTATGTTAGGTAATACTTGCATCTCGGATATTCTATAATATAATATCGCGAGATGTTTCCAATGGTAATTTCTTAACCCACAGACACAGCCCACTGAGTTTCTCGCCGGATCCTCTCAATGGGTCGCGTTTCCGATCCGGTGTAGTTTCTGCGAAGCACGGCTCTTGCTAGGGTTCGGATCAGCAACATCGTCAGGTTTGAGCCCCGTGAGCTCACCTACTTGTTGAGGTTACCCTGATACGGTCTCTAGACCATCAGCTTCGGTAGGAAAAAAAAAATTAATTTCTATTAATGTTCAAGATTTTTTTCGGTTATATAGGACACGCTCTTTTGTGACAAATACACTGAGAACACTAAGGCGTAATAACTTTAATAGATGTCCAAACTTGAAACGAACCTGAAGACCATACAACAATGGTGAGAGTCGAGTAACCGCTACACCAATGAGGCGATCCTAGTAAAAGGAAACAAAAAAAAAATCCCAATGGCATTGTTAAGTCATTGCCTCTATTAAGCGGTGACAAGAAATAAAATATAAATGCGGAACAAATGAAAGCGANTTTTTTTTATGATTGAAAGATTACTGGTGGCCCGGAGGCCTTTCCAGCTTCACCAGGACAGGTGGGCGAGCAAAGGCTCAGCCAGGAGGGGTGGGATTTGCTAACAACTGCCCGAGCGCCTCCGAAGGAGACCTAACAACTCAAGAGCAATTGCTTTGCGAATGGAGCTACTACCGGATCGGAATCGCGACCCACTCAGAAGATCCGGCGCGAAACTCAGCGGGCTGATGCATGGGTTAGGTCTACACTCCTTTACACTACACGCCTCTACACCGTTTTATGACGTCAATAAAAATCTTGCTCACAAATAGGACGTAAAAAAAATAAAACAATAAAAGGAATTGTCTCGAAACGAAAACGTTTATTATAGTTTATTACTCTTAACTGATAACGAATGTACTTCCTGAAATTTGACATTTAATAATAAAGCGTAGGTACTATGTACATTCTTTATCGAGAAATTGAAAACCGATTATTTTAATTTTTTTAAAAAGCACGTACCGAGTAATCTTGTTATAGCATATGATTAGATTTATTTTATTAATATTCGAATTACATTTTGTATGTTAGGTAATACTTGCATCTCGGATATTCTATAATATAATATCGCGAGATGTTTCCAATGGTAATTTCTTAACCCACAGACACAGCCCACTGAGTTTCTCGCCGGATCCTCTCAATGGGTCGCGTTTCCGATCCAGTGGTAGTTTCTGCGAAGCACGGCTCTTGCTAGGGTTCGGATCAGCAACATCGTCAGGTTTGAGCCCCGTGAGCTCACCTACTTGTTGAGGTTACCCTGATACGGTCTCTAGACCATCAGCTTCGGTAGGAAAAAAAAAATTAATTTCTATTAATGTTCAAGATTTTTTTCGGTTATATAGGACACGCTCTTTTGTGACAAATACACTGAGAACACTAAGGCGTAATAACTTTAATAGATGTCCAAACTTGAAACGAACCTGAAGACCATACAACAATGGTGAGAGTCGAGTAACCGCTACACCAATGAGGCGATCCTAGTAAAAGGAAACAAAAAAAAAATCCCAATGGCATTGTTAAGTCATTGCCTCTATTAAGCGGTGACAAGAAATAAAATATAAATGCGGAACAAATGAAAGCGAAAGCGGTAATCGTCTACGGATTATTCGTGTATTCGGGCCACCATAGAACAAGTTACCTGTTGCTTTTACCTCACGAACTCTTATCGGAGCCATGAACGATTTAAAAAAAAAAAGCCAGCCGACACGCAGTCGATAACATCGTGACGACATAGCATGCTTGCGTGTTACAGCGACATTAGTAGGTAGAAAAGTTGACTAATAATGTATAGTAATGCAAAAAATAATATACCAACAGTCTTCTTCCTAGTCGTACACTCTTGACAGAGCGGGCGTGGTCTGGTCCAGTCATCCGGCTCTAATTTAGGATTCCCTGTGTTATGGGTACCCTCCTCCTTGCGTCGGTTTCCTCATTACTGAGGGTCGTGGTCATGGCCTCGAAACAGTTTGTTTTTTATAATGCACCGCCATCTGTTCCTATTTGCAGCTGAGCGCAGAGTATCGTGCACTGTGGTATCAAGGGCTGTACGAATCTGGTCCGTCCAACAGGTCGAGCTCCTGCCTCTTGGTCGCTTGCCCTCGACTTTTCCAGTGACCACCAATTTCTCCAAGTTGTCACTATCTGTCCTTGCAATGTGGCCAAAGTATTCCGAATCCTTCGCAGGCAAATGGTGGAGAGTCTAGTCCGGATTTTGAGCTGAGCTAGGATGGATACATGGGTACCAGAGACAGATAAACATACTTATACATGTTTAAATACATATTTAATAAAAACACCCAGAAAAGGAGCAAACAAATCTATTCATCAATCATCACCACCATCATCAACCAAATTTACATAACCAAGTGTGTTACGTCAAGTTACGTATAATTTTTCGCGACGTCGCGTCGCGCTTGCCAACCAACGTAAGCACGTAAGATTAAAATGTGCAAAATTAGTTTTGTTTTCAGTTTTTGATGTTAAAATCGGCAAACAAGTTCATTAGTTATTCGGTGTAAAAATAGGCAGTTAAGTAGGAAATTAGCAATACTTCCAGGGATATAATGAGGCATCGTGAAATCGTCGGATACAATATTACTTTGCACTATTCAATACGTGTTAGAGAATTTCAATTTCATTGTCTTTAATACATCACTCGTAAAAAATATACGAACAAGGCTGTATGTAGTACATAACACTCAACAACCTTCAGATAACGTAAAACCGTATTTGTTTTTCATTAATTATTTATCTTCGTTTCACAGATCAGCCGAAAGATATGTTAAGGTGAAATGGAGGGACGTTCGAGTCGGTGACCTCGTTCACTTGTCTAACAACGAAGCGGTGCCAGCTGATATGGTGCTGCTGCACTCCTCCAATCCAATGGGGATCTGCTACCTGGACACGTGTAATCTGGACGGAGAGACAAACTTGAAACAGAGAATCGTCGCACCGGGCTTCAGAGAAAAGGTAATAATAGTATTTAAATTTATTAAATTTCGCTCGTGGTCTAGCCGGATCATGCGTGATTCGCGTGCGAGGAATAGCAGGCTCAAGATTTGGCACGTACCAATATGTTGTTGTTTTTTTTTTTTAATCGTCACGCAACGGAATTTTTCGCAGGAGTTCTTACGGTTGGTAACCTGATAGCGTTGTATTTCTGTTGACGTTCTATGGTTGCATTAAAATCGGGGTCACGTACACCTGTGAAGCTTCGAAAATATTTTTTTTACAACGGTCCCTGAAATTTCTCTCGGTTTTCGGAGTCTATTAGAAATTGTATGCGAATAAAATACTTTATGCAGGAACTAGTTCGCAATTCGAGACAGTTTATCGCGTTGACTGTCACGTAAGTCACTGGTGCCTTACGTGACGCACTGTGTGCTTAGTGCGAGTTTTTTAACTTCTCGATCGCGTAAAAGCTAACTCAAATTTGTATGGATTTGGAACAGCGCATCTAGTAGCAAACGTAAGCAAACGTTCCAGCTCCATAGAAATTTGAGTTAGCTTTTACGCGATCGATAAGTTAAAAAAGTGGCACTAAGCACACTAAAGTAATTATGTCGATTTTTGGCACTAAGCGCTTGGATTGCCTAATTTTGTTTGTTAATTAATATATGTTTTAGTCCTTTCGGTCTTTTAGAAATAGATTCATTCGCAGTATCTTCGGATTCGTCTTTTCCAGAGTCTACTAAATATTCTGACGCCTTAGTGAGAAGATCGAAAATAGAAACCGACATAATTACTTCAGTGCACCACGTAGGGCACCGGTGACCTATACGATAGTCAACGTATTAAAGACAATCATCTTTATATTTTAGCTATTTCAATATATAACTGAAGTATTTTTCATAGTGGTAGGGTAGCTATTCCTGCCGCGAAGTAGCAATAAGTTTCAGTTTGAAGGATGGGACAGCCGTTATACAATAATATAACAATACAATACAATTCAATCGAGGTTTCGACCTCATTTATTTCAAGGTGGGGGGTGGCATTCAAAGCTTTTTGAGGTTTATGGGCTACAGCAATCGCTCAGCTCCAGATGAACCGTGACTAGCTCACCTATCAATGCAATATAATGAAAATACCCTTCAATCCTCTTAATTCAATGGCTCTTAAAGCTTAATTATTAACCGTACCCATCAATGTTCCAAAGGTGAACTACGTTATCCGTAGAATAATTTATCGCTTTCACGTTCAGACATGCTTATTTACTGCGTTCTGAATGTTTCGTGTTCGGATACACAACGTAACTGTGTCAGTTCAATAAAATAACTAAACAAAACGTTTAACCTCGTTTTGTGTGCTCTAGACTTACGATTTGACGTTATACATAATAATATTTTTTTTACTACAGATTATAAATTAAATGGGATGTAATTACCCTTTTGTATTGTCTGTGGATTGAGAGGTGTAAATAGTTTATTAGCCGTTACTATTGGACATTGGAAATACCATCGATCGTAGATCGTTGGGAATTACAAATCAAACTGCCTACCTATCGAATACTATCATTAGTTTTAGGTAATTAGTGAATAACAAAATGAAGTCTACAGAGTCGTGACCGATGTCGTCTTTAAAAACGTTGAGAAAAATTTCGAAACGCAAAATATTCAAAATAGATAAAATTGCTGATTATATTATTTTTGGCGCGAATACCTAGGTTTTTTTTTTTTTTTAGAGCCATGCATGTTTTTCTGTTTGTTGTGTGGGCATTCGAATTTCAAATCGCAGGAACACGTGATATTTTCGTCATTCTTCCAACTTCATTTGTTGTTATTAATACATTTAAAGACGCTATGAATAGCCGTTCAAGCCATTTACTTTTCCGCGGCGGAAGCACAATGAGCGACGTTAATAATCCATCGGGGGTCAACACGAACGTTGCCTGAGTAAAGCTTACTGATCCACTTACTATTAAATAAGTATTTACTTAAGTAAACTAACACACTTTACTTTGAATTTAATGCTTAGAAAATGAAACGTGAGAATACTTTCTCTAGGGTTTTTATTTGAACACAATACAACGTTAACCACAACTCATTATTATTTTTTTTGATAGGTATGTACGTATATTTCATGAGAATGGCAATGTTTGGAAATGCGAAACAGATTAAATATAATTTAAACTGCTTTTATTGCGATCAACCGTCGTTCGTAATGATCACGAAAAATGCACAAAGTATTGGAGACGTGGGAAATAATCAGTATAATAAACACGAGACTTAACCGTAAAAAGTAGATTGAATCGTGTCTGTGGTTCGCGAAAATAGTTTTCTTGTATTTTTTTGTTGTCTTTAAAGAATGACCTTCAGTCAATAGTTTTCTCGTTAGTTTGTTAGGCGCTGAATGATTGTTAGAGTGATGCCAAATAATGATGAGTGATTGATTGACTTAGGTGACATGTAACTCGACGGAATAGTGATTATTTAAACACGTGTAATAAGCATTTTAACTCAAAGTAAACTCTTGACCCACTTATGTAATACCCTTGCACATTCATTTTTGCAATACCGAGATGACACTAAATATCACACCCTAGATACACACTGTTCAATACCAAACGAAATAGACAAATAATATTGTCTCAAAAAAAAAACGTTATTACTAACATAATTGTAGTTTTCAAAAGTAAAACAAAAAAGTTGTTATCTACTTTTATTAGCACGAAACAGTGAATAATTGATGCCGTCGGCGTAAAAGTGGTCGAAGCTTACCATAGTTATTCTGAAGATAATGAGGTTTGAATTTACTTTTAAACTGCTTCGTAGGCAAAAACTAATACGCGCAAAAGTAATGTTTACAAAGCTATGTGTTATCTATGGGTGAAGCTAGGGATAGGCCGGCTGTGCATCAAAATTTATTATGTTTAAATTAAATGCACGAATATGAAAAACTGTGGATTAGGCCACTTTTGTGCTCACGCCCTCATTTATGTACTCACGTAAAGCTAATTCTGTAACTGCGACTTCAGATCAGCATTGTTTTTTTTTTGTTGCAGCGACTCGATTTTAATCCAATGAAATTCAGAAGTTCAATAGAAGTCGAAAGACCATCAACGAAAATCTACAGGTTTACGGGTACAATATCCCATCCGAACGGCGAAAGGGTGCCACTGAATTCGGAAAATTTACTTTTAAGGGAATGCACGATCAAGAACACGGATTACGTCGAGGGTATCGTTGTGTACGCGGGACACGAGACCAAAGCCATGCTGAACAACGGGGGACCGCGATACAAATGCTCCGGTCTGGAGAAGAAAATGAACACAGACGTGATTTGGTGTGTTTTAGTGCTTCTATTCCTCTGCTGCGTTGGCGCCGCGTGCTACAAAGTCTGGTTGGACCAATACTTTCCCAATTTACTAAGATATACGCTTTTCATTCCGCAAGCCGACAAACCACCGGCGTACGAAGGCCTACAGATATTCTGGACCTACATTATAATATTACAAGTCATGATACCAATATCTCTGTACGTGACTATTGAGATGACGAAACTATTGCAAGTCTATCATATACATCAAGATATAGAAATGTACGATCCGGAGACGAACATCAGAACCGAATGCCGAGCGCTCAACATAACTGAGGAACTGGGACAGATAAGTTACCTGTTCAGCGATAAGACCGGAACGTTGACAGAGAACAAGATGGTGTTTAGGAGATGCACCGTTAACGGTGTCGATTACGATCACCCGCCCGGGCCCCCCGCGGAACCATCGACCGAACTCCCGCCCATTGTAACTCCTCTAACCCAAGTATCGCCCAATCGAAGACTGCTCCAACATCTAAACGACACAAACGATGCCCAACACACGCAAAAGGTACTACTAATTTTAATGTGGTCATTAAATCTATATATATATATATATATATATATATATCAATGAATTGCTGTTCGTTAGTCTCGTTAAAACTCGAGAATGGCTGGACTGATTTGGCTAATTTTGGTCTTGAATTATTTGTGGAAGTCCAGAGAAGGTTTAAAAGGCAGATAAATATGAAAATGCTCGAAATTAAATAATTTTGTTTTCCCTTTGATCTGTCCCCCGTCGGACGGATTCCTTTTGTTTCTTTTAAGTTTATTTTATACAAAAGCTTAGGTCTTTTAGTTCTCGATTGAGGCACTACGTAATCTGTCGGGTCAGCTAGTAATTAATATAATTTAACTAAACGAATTCGTTTGGTCCAGGTTCGCGAGTTCCTCTTGATTTTGGCCGTCTGCAATACGGTGGTCGTGAGTCAGCCTCACGTGGACACGATGCAGCTCAGCATGTCGAATTCGGGCGAAGAACTGACGAACAACAGGAAACCATCGAGATCGAATGGTACATTACGATCAAACGACAAGTAAGTGTTGTGGTTTTTTAGCGACCTCGTTGCCAACGGAAGACTGTTGTAAACCTTCGCCTTACGGTTTTATGATATTCGTTTATTGAGTTGGATTTTATGCCGTCATCCGCCAGTTGCGTTAATAATGTATGCACAATAATAGAATAATTGCCGGATTCGTGACCGTACAAAATAATGTTTTGTTGATTCTTAGAAACTGGGCGATTTTCAGGTATGCTCGATTAACGGAATCGCGATCGACGACGCCCTCGCCACCGCCCTCCACCGTTTCCCCCCTAAAGATACGTCTGCCTAAACTGACGTTTGGTAGCAGAGACGACAACACCAGTGAACCGAGTACATCTACTGAACAACAGGTACAAAATGCTTGGTCGCTGCACGTAGTCGTGTATAAACAAAACCCTCTTTCTTCTTTGTCTCCATTTTATTCCACTATGTGGGGTCGGCACAGCGGATTTCTCTTTTCCATTCTCCTCTATCAGCCATCATCTCAACACTCACTCGTCTTTCTCTCACATCATCATACACTCCATCCATGTCTTCTTCGGTCGACCTTTTCCCCTCTACCTTGCACTACCATTTCCATACATCTCCTAGTCACATGCATCTCCTCTCTACGTAACACATGTTCATACACACTAACCGTTCGCTCTGTAATTTATCAAACAAAACCCTCATCGAAGTCGCTTATACTTGTCGGAGTGGTCGCGGTAAAGTAAAATAAAGTATGAGTGATTGTTCTTATTAAATAGCGGGTGTAGTTAGTTACCCAGATGTGCTTGGACTTTCAAAAGAAAATCGTTTAAATATTGTATCGAATTAAAAGCTCTGCTTTATCCAACTAAGATCTTTTTTGGTCGTTTGACAGAGATCGCTCTTAGCGATAAGACGGCCCATTGTAGATACCTTTTATCTTTAATGTATTGCATTTAGTTTGATATTAAATTATTGCCCAATAAATGAAATTCTAATCTACTCTAAGATATATTCTGAGCTTAGTTATTTCTGTTTTAAATGATGAATTTGGTGCAGATCGCTCGTTTTGAAGCCGAAAGCCCTGACGAGTTAGCACTCGCCGAGGCGGCTCTCGCGTACGGCTACGAGCTGAGAAGCAGGTCGCCTGACGAGGTCGAGGTCGGGATCAAGGGGGAGGTGAGCCGCCTGAAGGTGCTTCGGGTGCAGCAGTTCGACTCCAACCGGAAATGCATGTCCGTCGCGATGCGGACGCCTACCGGTCAAGTGAGAACTTAAACTTTTTTTTTTAATAAATAATTGGCTCGAACGTCTTTGGCATTGATTTTGCCAATGTCAAAGTATTTACAAAACGACCGGTACTTAACTTTAACTTTATTTCAACACCATATTGTTGCTCGCTGACACAATCCAGAAACACATTTTGGAAAAACAATATCTTTTAAAATGACATAAAGCAATGTGTTATCCGACTTTTTGACGAGGACACCGTTTTAATTTCATGATGCTACAGATTAGCAACGTGGCTGTACACGTTAGATAAATGTGGCAAATTGGTTGTGGATCTCCATAGATAGTCAAATAAAGGTAGAATATTAGGATACTAATGCAGGACTAACAAAATTAAAGAGAATATGTAATATTTTAAATGAATTAAAATCTTGAATTGTCAGTGATTTTGGTCGTAATTTCAATCAAGGAATTTTACCTCTAAATATTTATACATAGATAGATCGGTTCACGTCATAATACAAAATTGTAATTTTTTTTGTGTCTAGGTAGTTTTGTACGTAAAAGGCGCTGATAGCACAGTGCTGGGCGCCTTGGCACCGATGCGGGCCGGCTCGGCGGAGGCGGCGGCGTGCGAGCGCACCCGCGCCCTCATCAGCGAATACTCGCGCGCCGGCCTCCGCACGCTGGTCATGGCCAAGCGGACCATGCAGCCCGCGCTCTGGGAGGAGTGGCTCGCCAGCCATACTAGAGCTTCGGAGATCGGAGAAGGTAAGATTGACCTTTGTGCTTAGTGCAAGTTTTTTAACGTTCTTGATCGCGTAAAACTTAACTTCAATTTGTATGGAGTTGAACAGCTTCCCTTCGTTTGTCGCTAGGGGCGCTGTTCCAACTCCACACAAAAACTGGCACTAAACACGATGTTTCTGCTACCGAGCTGACTATTGCGGATATTGACTTGGTTTTTTTAGGAAATTGGATTAACCCATTTTTTCTAGAAGTGAAAAGTGACTTAATATTCTTTTTTTGTGTTCACATTGGTCGATAGAACATGAACCAGAAAAGTTGTATTCGATGTATCAATGTTAAAACGGTAGTTGGGGGCGCATTGTGAAAACGCACAGACTTTTCTGTCTATTTCTATCTCAAAGCAATAACGCGTTTCTGTTAGAATGAATTAAGATAGACGACGACGCTTTAATCTCAAGGGCCAAGATGGACGGAAACATTCGGGATGTGTTCAGGAAAAACAAGCAAACTAATTTAAATTTGCTTGTTTTCGTGTCGTCGTGGCCTAAAAGATAAGATGTCCGGTGCATTCGTATTTAGCGATGCAACGGTGTTCGAATCCCGTAGGCGGGAATAATTTTTTCTAATGATTTTCGTACTTAACAAATGTCCACGATTGACTTCCACGGTGAAGGAATAACATCATGTCATAAAAATCAAACCCGCAAAATTATAATTTGCGTAATTACTGGTGGTAGGACCTCTTATGATTCCGCACGGGTAGGTACCACCACCCTGTCTATTTCTGCCGTGAAGCAGTAATGTTTCTCGGTTTGAAGGGTGGGGTAGCCGTTGTAGATATTTATGGGTTCCGGTAACTACTTAACACCAAGTGGGCTGTGAGCTCGTCCACCAATCTATGCAATAAATAAATAAAAGTTATCCTTCACTACATAGCATAAAACAAAGTCGCTTTCTCTGTCCCTATATCCCTATTAATGCTTAAAACTACGCAATGGATTATGATGCGGTTTTTTTTAATAGATAGAGTGATTGAATAGGAAGGTTTAAATGTATAATAACATCCATTAAATAGTGGAGAAATCAATAATAAATTACAGTTTCCGAAGCGAAGCGAGGGCGGGTCGCTAGTATGAAATAAATTGTTCTCATTTTGTTGTGAGCAGGCCGCGATAAGAGGATACGCGACTCGTTGACTCGGCTCGAGAGTGCCCTGACGCTGGTGGGGGCCACGGGGGTCGAGGACCGGCTGCAGGAAGACGTGCCGCGCACCGTCCGGGCGCTGCTCGACGCCGGGATCATCGTGTGGGTGCTGACCGGGGACAAGCCGGAGACCGCCATCAACATAGCGTACTCCGCCTCTCTGTTCTCGCAGAGCGACCGGCTGTTGCACCTCATGTCCAGGGATAAGGTCGGTTTTTTTTCTTCTTTTTTTATTGCTTAGATGGGTGGACGACCTCACAGTCCACCTGTTGTTAAGTGGTTACTGGAACCCATAGACATCCACAACGTAAATGCGCCACCCACCTTGAGATATAAGTTCTAAGGTCTCAGTAGACTTACAAAAGCTGCCCCACCCTTCAAACCGAAACGCATTTACTGCTTCATGGCGGAAATAGGCGAGGTGGTTGTACCTACTCGTGCGGACTCACAAGAGGTCCTACCACCAATAAAATATAACCATTTTTTTTTTCAATTTAACAACACAAATTCAATGCTACATATCAACACATAACCGATGCCGTCAGTAATGCATCTTTCAATTAGCTCTATTCAATGTATGGTGATTAATCCAAATTGAGATCTACTTTCATCTTTATAGATGCATCGTCTTGCATCCGTGTAATAATTACTCATATCAATGCACATACAGATCGCTCTTAAGAATATAATTAAAAGTTATCTCGAATTAGTTCAGCGGAACGGTGTATATATAGTTCCGTCGTACTCCCATTCCTCTTGGAGAAAAATATTTAAAGTGTATTTATTACACCAATGATAAATTGCAGTTTTTATTCAAGCAATTTTAACGAATTCCAGTAATAAAGTGAAAACTTCTCTTTAGTTCAATCGTTGTGATGTGAAATTCGATGAAACGAAAAAACGACACTAAAACGAGACAAACATATATACGTCTGTAAGATTTAGCCCAAGAGAGAGTGAGATAGATTACTTCTGTCACTGTCTGATTCTTTTCTTCATTACCAATTTGGTTAACCAAAAGGAGTAGAACTACATGTTCTTTAAATGTAGTTCGAGAGGAGAACCTCTTAATTTGGCGTGGACAGTACAATACAAGATCGTTTTATTGTATTCTAGGTATTATTGATGATCATGAGTGTCTTTTCGTATTACAAAGGTTATAGGAAGATTGGTATCAGGGAATGCAATAAAATAAATCCTTCGTACAGGAGCACGCGGAGTCCACGATCAAGAGTTACCTGGAGGGGGGTGTGGGGGGTGCGGGGCGCGCGCTGGTGGTGGACGGGCGCACGCTCACGTACATCCTGGACCGGCGCTCGGGGCTGGTGGCGCCGTTCCTGTGTCTGGCGCGGCGCTGCTCCGCCGTGCTGTGCTGCCGCGCCACGCCGCTGCAGAAGGCCTGCATCGTCAAGGTCTGCACACTGCATATTAACTCCTCGAGTGATGTCAGGGAGCAGGCGCAAGACAGGGTAAAGTGGAGGCAACTTGTGAGGACCCTATGTACCAGCGAAGTACCCAACATTATATTACTCTCGAAATCGAAGCTTAAGAAGTTATCAGTCAAAGCTATCAGCTTAGATATTATATATATATATTATGGCCATCGAGTCCTAAAAATGTTCAGTATAAATTTTTCTATCTTTGTACATATTCAGAAATAAATCAAAACTCCTACTTAAAATTAAACTTAAAGTATGTAATGTCATTGATATCCGACATTACAATCGAGAATCGCTCTCCGTGAAGATTCTGTGAGTCGACAATCCTATACAAAATAATTTTCTAACACATATAAATTGGGAATGCTATAATTCAATATTACTCTGTGGATAATAGAGTATAGAAAATATTGTATTTCATCATCATCAACAGCCCACAGTCGTCCACTGCTGGACATAGGCCTCTCCCAATCCACACCTCTGAGCCCGGTCTTCGGCTCTAATAGAAAATATGTACTGTATTTGATACGAAAATAATTGTTCACTCTGACAGAAATCTTTTCAAACGATAACGCTAGTCATTGTTTCACACGCTTTTATTGCTACCTTGATTATCATTTAAAATTCTAATTTGCGAAGTAAATTGTGGTGGTAGTATTGAGAAATTTTCAATTAAATCCCACCACGATATGCTTTCAAAAGTGATTCATGCTTGGACCGTTTGCAGTTTGCAATTATCAAAAACTCCTTTGCCTCCAATTTACCTTTGTTCAATGATGATCAAATTTCTTTGTGCTACGTTAATAAAAGTGATTAAAAATAGAATTAATTAACATTTCACAAAAATAATGGGTTTTAATTAAAATTTTCTTTTTGCTTTGTTGCTTTTTTACCAATGGTGGCAGGTTTTTATCAAACTTATACACGCATATATGTCTATTTCTGTGGTTCGCTCTACAACCTAAATCTTTTTAAAATGTTGGAACATATGAGGTGGTATTAGATTCAATGACGTAGGGTATAATATTTTACGGCGACATTTAGATTACACAAAAATATGTTTAATTTTTTTGTTTGTCCCCATATATAATACTTTTAGTAACATTCATTTTGTATTAATGTTTTTAGTAAATTACAGGTTTACTATAGATTATCTTTGGTTTTTAAAGTTTCAATTTTTTTTTATTGCTTAGATTATTAATTTATTTTATCCTGGATCGATTCATATATATTATCTATATTCCTGTCAACAACTCTCCACCTTCTTTGAGGGATTTTACTACTTAGTTTTGCGGCGAGTGGCTGTGGGATTTGTTGCTATCAAATTTACACACTACAAGTTTTTTTAGGCTCTGCTATCTCTAATATAACTAACTAGTCAAACCCAGTCTGCTATGCTGGCGATGCTTAACTTGGCATTGATCCGATCTCTACCAATACTAATCTTCGGCTGGGCCAGTTTGAAGATTTTCTAAAAATCATAGTCATAGAAGTCGGGCCCTTTCGGAATCTATAGGGAACACACACACATCAACTATAGATTCCATATCATAACAACTTTATAGATTGTTTTGTTATTGTTCGGCTATCGCTGGTTGGTTGCAGGCGGTGAAGGAAGAGCTCGGCGTGACGACGCTAGCCATAGGCGATGGCGCCAACGACGTCTCCATGATACAAACGGCTGACGTCGGTGTCGGTACGTGTCGGTCGCTCTGAACTAATTAATAACTGCTTGTTACTACCCAATTAACGTTGACCTTCTAATGTTTTAATTGAGTTTAATGTAAAACTAATTTCATTTAAATCTCCAAAGTAGTTTCGTCTGACGTTAACAGACCTCACAGATCGAAGTGTTGATTTAAATAAATATTTGAAGAAACATTGCTAAATTGTTCATCGATATAGACGTCTCATTCATTAAATGTGTCTTTCTCTTTCAGTTTCTTTCTCCAATAGCTTTTAAATGATTATTTTAGAGCGTGTCCGGATAAGCATCATCAATCTGGATATCCATATGAATAGGCATCATCAATCTGCTTATTTCTCATGCTTGAGACTCATGAGACCTCATACCTCTAGACGGGTTTCGATTTGCCCCTTGACATCTGTCTCATTGAGATTCCACACACAAAAACTCTTCTACAAGTGAACCAAATTTTTTTTCCGTCCAGGTCTGTCTGGCCAGGAAGGTATGCAGGCGGTGATGGCTTCGGACTTCGCGCTGTCGAGGTTCAAGTTCATAGAGCGGCTGCTGCTCGTACACGGACACTGGTGCTATGACCGGCTCGCCAGGATGATACTGTATTTCTTCCTCAAAAATGCCGTGAGTAGACCACACATTTCGGATCCGGTTTTGTTTAGAGGAACGATGGTGTATGGGCAATAGCAGGATATCAGCGTTGGCATCTATAGCGCTGGCAGGTTACACTCATATTGACTAACAGCTTTTGTTAGTTTTGTTTTTGGAACTAAGTTTCTTATGGGACGATACGGAGGGGTACCCCAACCGGCAAAAAACGTCCGTAACGTAAGATTTTTATTTGTAATGCACACAGTGTACGACTTCACTTTGTAATAACGTACAAAAAATAACATTTTTTTATCATTCATTGACCACGATCTCAGAGCGTTCGTTTGCGCAATACACTGACTCTTATGCAAACAACCGTGAATGAAGTGTACCACAATAAGTTCGCACGTTACCGAATGACCGTGGGTTGTTGCGAAACTTCCAGTTTTTTTTTCTTTATACCTCGAATAGAACTTAAAATTAATATTTTTATAATAAGGAACTTCGTTCCTATCCGGTGTCCCACGACACCACACATCTTTTTTTCTTACTACGTGACTTATATGTGTTTACTGGTGGTAGGACCTCTTGTGAGTCCGCACGGATAGGTACCACCACCCTGCTTATTTCTGCCGTAAAGCAGTAATGCGTTTCAGTTTGAAAGGCGGGGCAGCCGTTGTACTATTAAAAGTGATATCTTACAACTCATGTCTCAAGGTGTGTAGCGGCATTTACGTTGTAGATGTCTATGGGTTCCGGTAACCACTTAACATTAGGTGGGCCGTGAGCTCGTCCACTCATATAAGCAATACAAACAATTAAAAAGAAATGTTGACATCCGCTTTGAGAAAGGCCGGATAACCTGTTAATATTTTGCAGCAACAACTTCTATTTACTGTTTCCATCTTCCGGCGCTAATGTATACTATTGTATATTTTTTTCTGGTTTGTTTTAATAGATGACTTCGAATATTGTCAATCGTAGAACACCAAAACATACGTGCTGTGTTTTTTTTTTCCAGCATTTTTAGGAGTTTTCTAGAAGAGATCGCTTTTAGCAAAAAGACCGCCTGTTGTATGAATGATATTTACCTATTGACTGATGTCGACGTCACCCAAAACACGTCATTACGGATCCTCCCGATCCATTAACGGTGCTTTGCGGTACCACAAGCACCGGTCACCGTCCTCGTCGAACCCGTCGCTTGCGATGAAGGGCTCGACGGGCGAATTAACCCACAGACACAGCCCACTGAGTTTCTCGCCGGATCTTCTCAGTTGGTCATGTTTCCGATCCGGTGGTAGATTCTGCGAAGCACTGCTCTTGCTAGGGTTCGTATTAGCAACACACCGGTTCGAGCCCCGTGAGCTCACCTACACACGTTAGGGTGATGCTGAATTATCCTCTCAAGGCTATCAGCATAGGTAGGAAAGAAAAAAAAGTAAAGTATGATATCTCTGTCTCACTCCGTTTCTAAACTGTTTGTACAATTTCCAACAGACGTTCGTGTTCATGGTGTTCTGGTACCAGCTGTACTGCGGCTTCTCAGCGACGGTGATGATCGACCAGCTGCACCTCATGGCCTACAACCTCATGTTCACCGCGCTGCCACCCATCGTCATCGGTAAGCTGTCAACAACTTCATACTTCAGACTCATCATTTGCATAATTATTGGTGGTAGGACCTCTTGTGAGTCCGCGCGGGTAGGTACCACCGCCCTGCCTATTTCTGCCGTGAAGCAGTAATGCGTTTCGGTTTGAAGGGTGAGACAGCCGTTGTACAAAGCCATAGATTCTTATTTACATGTTTTGTTTTAACTTTAATTTTAGTTTATACTCCTGCCCATAAGGAGCTTAAAACCTGAGTAACGCATTCATTCCGCATACAATACACTAGTAAGTTGGAATCGTGATGTGTGAGTGGACTTTTTGGCGGGAACGCGAGGAGTGAAGTTGTGTGATTTGTTTTATTTTGTCTATTTAGTGTTTCTTCAGGTTTAAATGTGTAATAACGGTGCTTAATATCTGTGAAAATGCATAAATGTGGGAAAATGAAATAAAGCCGCTGGACGTAACTTCTCGGAATCCTCCAAAAAGTCCACTAAAAAAATCTTAGTAAATGACCACCATTTTACTGAGATTATATTTCATCCTATATAATCTCATTTCATTTAATTTCATCCCAGTTGATTAATGTCTCAAATTAATCATCTTCATTTCACTCCATATTATCATTTTTCATAAATTAAGAATAGAAATTAAAATAAGACATGACTTAAAGGTCTTAGTGACCAGGTCATAAAATCCCTTTTAAAAAAATTAAGTATGAGTGGTGTCGGTGGGGTTGCGTGCGCAGGTGCGTACGACCGCGTGGCGCCGGCGTCGCTGCTGGGCGAGGTGGCGGGGCTGTACGGCGCGGCGCGGCGCGGGCTCGCCTACCGCCCGCACTCCTACTGGCTGGTGCTCGCCGAGTCGCTCTACATCAGCCTCGTGGTGTTCTTCAGCGTCGCGACCGCCTACTGGGACTCCGCCGTCGACATCTGGTCCTTCGGCCTCTGCTGCATGACCTGCTGTCTCGTCGTCATGCTGGTCTACGTCGCCATCGAGACCAGGAGCTGGGTAAATTACGTTTTGTTCTTCACATTGAACAGTTAACACGTACACAATACTATAAAAGTAAAGAAAAACCTTTATTATTTAAAACTCTTTTAATTTTTCTTCAGTGTCATGGACAGATGTATGGTCATTCAATAAAAACAACGTTCAATTTTGTAAAATTAATAGTGTTTAAAATATTAATTTTAAAACAGATTTAAAGGCTTTAGATGTTGTTTTCTTATTAAATAACAGAAAACACAACTAAATATTTTATTGTTTATTCATTCTGAAATGTTTCATATCATTAAATAACTAATAAATAAAAAGAAGTTCCTGATGAAAGCTAATCCAAGTACGAAACCTTCACTGTCTCGCGCGCTTAGTGAAATTAATTAAGCTCCTGTAGACTATTTTAGTGCAATATCATCTTGATTTCGAAAAAATATAAAAATAACCATTCTATATCGATGACACCAAGAATATCATGTGGTCCACTTGACAAAAACATGAAAAAGGCGACTGAGGTATAAGGACCAGAGAACGCAATCGCCAAAAGACATTACCTATCCATTATGTCTCCAAATGAGTGGTGGAGTTTATAGTATAATGTTGGACTCGACTAACCACTTAACAATATATGCACCGTGAACTCATTCATGCCTTAAGGCAAATTAAAAGATTGTACACACAGATATAATGACTTAAAACTAAACTTTCATGCAGCTTTTCTTCCCGAAACTAGTAAGTGTGGCACAGAGTGTCTAGTCGCTGTGTGACCGTGTGAATGTGTGACGCTTACCGTTCCTTACTGTCTTACTGCTTTTAGATGATTCACACGCATTCTAAATGTTTTCTAGAGCAAATAAAAGTGTTCTGTTTAGATTTATTCATTTTGACAATGACCTACGGTAATTAAGAACGATAAAGTCCGACTGAAACCAGTCCATTTAAGAGTAGTAAAGTGTCATTGTTCAATTAAAAAAAAATCATCTTTCTAAAACAAGTAGTAGGGGAATGACATGCCGGAAAAATCGCGACCGAACTGAAGTATGCGATGACCGAAAATTAAACTATTTTTTTAATTTTCATTTTAATATTTCCGGTGTTTCGATTATTTTACAGTTTTCGTGGCCGCGAACAATGGTAGTCTTTTGAATATTCTGCCACTGTCGTCTATATCTCGATAAAAATATTGCTAGACTCAATATCATAATTGAATTAAATTTAAAATTACTTAATATTTATGAGCAACGATGCACACTGTGAATATAATTTGAGTCTATTCGTCATCGTCCTCGTCGAACCCGTCGCTTGCGACGAAGGCCTCGCCGAGTAAATTAACCCACAGAAAGCCCACTGAGTTTCTCGCCGGATCTTCTCAGTGGGTCGCGTTTCCGATGCATTTTCTCATTTCTTTCCTTTCTCTTTTCTTTTCTCGCTGGATCTTCTCAGTGGGTCGCGTTACCGATGCGGTGCGATAGATTCTGCAAAGCACTGCACTTGCTAGAGTTCATGTTAGCAACGTCGTTAGGTTTGAGACCCGTGAGCTCACCTACTAGTTAAGATTACGCTGAAATAGCCTCTCAAGGCTATAAGCTTAGGTAGGAAAAAAAACCTTAAAAAGTTGTATAGCAATAAAAAATTTATTTACAGACAATAATTCAAGTGTTCGCCCTGACCGGTTCGTTGATGTCCTTCTTCTTGTTAACGATGGTGTACCAGACGGTGTGCAGGCCGTGCCTTGGGATGCCCTCCACCTATGGAGTCATGATGAACACAGTCAAAGATCCGACCTACTGGCTGTTGCTCGTATTGACCACGGTCGCTGCATTGGCGCCCAGGTATGTCGCGTGTGAGCTCTAAATTTAAAAAACATGTTTTTTTTTTAAATTTGCCTACCGCTACCGTAAAATGGGAGGAATCGGGACCCTTTTTTTGTAGTTATAGTAATAAAACGAAGATCATAATTGTTCCGGTAGTTTAAATTTTCATTTATAAAGCACTAAGATGGAGTTATTAAAGAATAATAAGAAAGATTTGCAAAACCCACTTGTCCCTATTCACCTAAGCGTTGGGGTGAATCTTGTCGCTTAAAGGGACAATAAAGTTTTTCGATAGGGCTGGCACTATTTAGTTGTTAGGTAAGTACCTAACTTTACCTAGGTACCTAGGTACCTAATTAACTTTTAAAAATCTTTATTGAGTTACAAAACTTTTATGACTAAATTAAAATATTTAATATTCTTAAACACGAAATAAAAGTTATTTTCAGTTCAACAAAGTTAAATTTAACAACTCAAAAAAAGTATTGTGGCATCTCAGATTTGTCCCTATTCCCCCCAATCTAATGTACTAATGTATTTGTTATTATGGTATCGTTACCTCGCGGAGCTCTGACCGCGGATACGGCCAGTAGTACAGTGTCTCGGTGCGCAGGTTGTCGTACCACGCCATCCGCAACTCGGTGCGGCCGGGCACGCTGCGGCGCGCGGTGGCGGCGCGGCGCCGGCCCCGCCTGCCTTACGCCGCGCACTACCGCTCCGCGCACGCGCAGGCGCACGTCTACAGGTACGCACGCACACGTGTACGGGTACGCACGCACACGTATACGGCTTTATTTCTTTTTTATTATCTAAGCTGATGGCATTGAGAGGTCATTTCAACGTAACCCTAACAAGTAGGTGAGCTCACGGGGCTCAAACCTGATGACGTTGCTAACACTAACTCTAGCACGAGCAATGCTTCGCAGAATCTACCACCGGTACGGAAACGCGACCCACTGAGAAAATCCGGCGAGAAACTCAGTGGGCTGTGTCTGTGGGTTAATTTACTCGCCGAGCCCTTCGTTGCAAGCGATGGGTTCGGTGAGGACGGTGACCGGGGCTTGAGGTACCTAAAAGCACCGTTAGTGGATCGGGAGGATCCGAAATGACGTGTTTTGGGCGACGTCGACTGTTTACCATTCGGTCCGCAGGATCGGGAATGTAGTTACCGACGGCCACAAAGGGAGGGTTCTCGTATCGTGCCGCTTTTTCGACACTGATGCCGACTGTAGTAGATACTTACTGATGGACTCTTATGTACATATCATCATGGAAGTTCATCATGAACCACGGGACTTCGACGACTACCATGCAAAAACGGGATTGTATGATTTAGAAAAGTTTTAAGTTAGTGCGGGCCGCGTGAGCGAACACTACACTTGCATAGGTCATGATCAGACGTGTACAAGTTTTGTAGTGTCACCTTATTTCTAAGGGACAATTTACTTTGCTTGCAAATCATTGAATAGACGTATACGGGTACGCATACAGACGTCTAATAGGTACTATTAGATACGCACACGCGCTCTACAAGTACTATTAGGTACGCACACGTGCTCTACAGGTACGCCCGCATACGTATACGGGTACGCACGCACACTCTATAGATACCCACAGACGTGTTGAATTTCTGAATTTCAATTATTATTGGTTTCATTTCCAGGTCGACCGATGAAGATGGACTGCAGAAGAGCAGCGCGGACGTGGCGGCGGTCACGTGACGCAGCCAGCGGTGCGGCCTGCTCGCGGCCTGCGGTCTCTGTGTGCTCGCCCTCCCGCGGCGCCCGGCTTCTTGAACCTTACCCACCACGCCTCCACCAGCCGCCATTCTTGTTAGTCTAAACATAATCCCTAATACTAAACTGGGACAGCCCTAGCGATTGCCACCGCGGGTTAGTTAAATGTGGATAAGGTGTCATGATCGGATCTTGCTTCTCGACGGGTCTGAGGAAGCCTCCAACAATCCTCCCAAGGGATGTGTCACAGTACTGGAAGGATTTTAGGCTTGTCATTTACGGGTCTCGTCGCCCTCAAACTATGAAAGGCGGGGGGTTCGGTCAGTATTGGACAGTTTCTCATGTTGCCTGTTCTCTAGTGCTTACGTGAGGAAAATACTTTGAATGTTTGTGGATCAAGTGGAAAATGTGTGATGTAGTGCTTTATGGGACAAAGTGGGACCAAGGCGTCACGTTCAGTTACCAATTGTTTTGTACAGTATAAACATTATCTTATTTACGATTGTTGCATCGCTTCAAGCGAAATGTTTAATTGTTATAAAGTGAAAAAACGGTTTTATCGACTTACGTACCATGCGTTCGTCTTGTTGAGCTTTTGCAAAACGAAAAGTTTCACTGTAAAAGCCATGATTAGTTATGACGTATACACGTCAAAGATATTTATTTATGTTAACAAGAAATGAGAGTTAATAAATCGATAAATATTTTTGGTTTTCGTCGAGTTTTTATATAGTTCGAGCCCACGCCGCATGTAGAATTCCAATTTGAGTCTGTTCGATTAGACAACATAAGGTTTTCATTACACTTTTTATTTGTACATTTCAGAATGAACAGTATTTCGTTTGAGATCTGACATTTTTAAAGTGTTTATTTGACTCGTTCTTATCTTTATACATTCTATGGAATCGCGATGCCTCCAATGAACACTACTCTAACTCAAAATTTTTAGATTTTCGTTTTTCACACAAATCACTACACTATTTTAAAAGTATTACAAATTCATTATTGATGGGGTTCGAAGCAAGAGTAAATCAGTTAGTTACACAAGAAAAAACCATAAATATATCTGCAATAATAATCAACTTTTTTCGTTTAAACGCTCCTCCTGTAAACCTACGAATTTGGAGTTAGAGTAGTGTTCATTGGAGGCATCGGTTTGATCTAGTCCCCGCAGTACATAGTACTTAATGAGTTGTGTAACTTAATTAAAAAGTCAACCGGTCACGTACAATAGATACATTCCTAACATTAATAGTTATTTATCGATAAAATTAACACAATTTTGTTTGTTTGACGTAGAGAGGATCGTACAGAGTAAATATTGCCAGAACTAAATTTAATGTTAACATCGATAGATGCACTCAATAAAATCTGAATATGTCCTATATAGAATCGAAATAAATAAATCACTTTAATTATTAAACATATTATGTACATTATTTTTTAAAGGCAAAATGCAGTCTTGGTATTTTTAAAAATTCTCATTTTACTTCGCCATAAAAATATAGCGCCCATTATAGCGATAAGAGTCTAATAAAACTAAAATAAAAAACTATCTTGCCTTACTTCATTTTTGTACGTATTTAGTTTTCGCAAATGCCCGTTTATATACACGAACACATCAAGGGGTACTCAAAGTTCTGCCAATTCATATTAATCATAATAATTAATAAATTTCCGTACTTAGTATTTACCGTGTATATGAGATGTACATACTGTACATTTATGTGCCAGTTTTCGTGGATTTATAAGTTTTAATGTCTTCAACGTATGCTGTTTCACGAAGGCGAATTTAAATTAAAGATTTAAAAAAACAATTCTGACGGCGTTCCGTATCAAAAGCAGTCATAAACACATCGAACATACGAATAAAAAAAAATCGGTTGCCTGTAAAGTCGGTTTACAGACGATAGTTGAACGTGCAACGTCATAAGAAAATACGCCTCAGAGCGAGGTAACGCCGCATGCGTCATGTTTTTTCGTGCGTGCAGCCGGCCCCATCGAATAAAATTATAAGACGTTGTCACATCAAAAAAAATGCCGAAACAATGAACATAATAATATGAATTAAAAAAGAAGTTAAGTTTTGCAGCGTGTCTGCCTTTGGATAGCTGGCTCATTCAAACTTTCGCATTTATTGTTAGAGTAAAAGAAACACACTTGCGGCGGTTACTGATCGAACCATATTTTTTTTAAGATTCGTATTTCATTTGCGAGGATATGTAACTTTAGAATTATATTTGTACTACAGATTTTTAAGCAACGTTCGTAATTTAAAGTTTAAGCAATATTATAACGTGCTCTGCGCAATGTAATGAACACTTAAATTCAACAGATATACGAGGTCAATGATCTCTGCAATTGAATGTTTTTTTTTTTGTTTAAATTGATTGAGCTTAGCTTAACGATTACCTCACACCCTTGTTAAACTGATATATGTTTTTCCTATTTAAATGTTCATTTTTGTGTTTAATAATCGTGTGAAACGTGTTTCGATTTGTCAATATCCGTATTTATCAATGCGACCGTTAAGTCATATTTGATTCAAATTTCAAATTTGTAAAAAATTGTTTCCACTCCCTGGATGGGACGTTTAGAAATGTTTCAGTGACTATTCCTATACATTATAAAATTGCTTTTAACAAAAATAATCTATCACCTCTCCTAATTGTAGTTAGTCATCTCGATATAAATACATCTTTTTATGCATCAAAACCCCATAAACCAACGATAGTTTAAACGTGTGATAGATGATACTAATATATTGTATTTTTGTAGGTGATTAGTATGTGATGTCGTTTGGCTTCCTTCTCTAATATAGTTATTTAATCGATAGTTAAACTGTTGCCTTGCCCGAGACTGCACCCGATGTTGGGGCAAAACTTACAAATAACGAGAGGTACATTCGTGAACTAAAAGTAGCATGTAAGATGTTTCAATATGGCACGTTTCATAAAATAAACCGATGGAGATTATCACCACCGCGCATATTGCAATAACCTATTTTATTTATTTATTTAAAGAACTATTATTAAAATCTCTTGATCAACAAATGCTTTTAAAAAAGATATATAAATATTTATGTATACCTAATGTCAGATATTTCAAAATAAAACACGAGTAGGTATAATCTGTGACATGTGTGATTAATTTATTTGCATTGGCTTAAAGGACTTTGTTGCCAAATCCAGTAATATTTATTAAAAAATATATTTGCATTTAACAAGTGTTTATGCCTTTCCAGTTAGAAAAATAAAACTACTATCTACTACTACTTAAGTTCCTATACTTGCTTGAGAGATCACCTTTGGAATACTTTAATAAATAAATAATTGAAAAATACATAAAATTATATGTGTGTACTCGTATAAGAGTAATATTTACCGAGCTTGAATAATAAAACACATCACCCTGATTTGGAACATCGCTTTTGATATAATTTTTTTAAATTTAATTTCCACACGTTTTCCTAGTGTTCTCTGAAGTGCCTTGAATTATTTTTTTGGATAGTTTACGTGTACCTCTCGACAAACTTTCTTCGTGAGTATTATGATTCCTAAAAGATTTCGACTATTTTGTACTATCGTTCTAGTTATGTAAATAGAGACAAATATATTTCTATATGAAAAATATTATAACGTGTACACTAGAATATTTTTATATTAAAATAATAACGAAAAAAAAAACGTGTAAATAACTTTTATTCTAAGACTGTTGTTTATTTAAAATCTTTAATTTGTTCAGTTGAAACTATTAAATAGGATATTATGATGAATGTTTGTATTTTCCAGTCATTCTTTGATAGCTGAGGTACCTTGGTATTTCTTGCCATATTAAAAAAAACCTTGATACGGTGTGAATGCTTTGAATTTTTTTTTCTATTTTAGTAAAAATGTTTTAATATGATTATTCTAATTATTTAACTAGTCTACCAACGAAAAATGAGTGGTAAATTAAGTTTTTTTTTTAATTAATATGATAATTCCTTATGTTTTATGCGTTTAATTTTCTCATCAGTATTTTAAACTCTTTTCATTTGTTTCAAAATATGCATTTATTTTTTTGTGATACGTTCTCTAATTTACTTTGTCTCAACAGACAATCATCTAATAATGACTTGAAAATACATAAAAAACATATTGAATGTGTTGTTTTTATAATAACAAAATATTTAATTTTATTATGAATTTCGTTTCATTTTCCCCTTTGTTTAATATTATAAGATTTTAATCATATCATTTGTGTCAAATCTAATATACAAAATACATTCGTATTTCATTATTTAAAAAAAACTACACTATGTATTTATTAGTAGTGTATTAAATTATGTGATTTACAATGTTTTTATGTTGTAAGAATCGATTTTAAAACATGTAATATTTACATTTCTATATATGTAATATTTGTTTACAGTTTTCATATTCATCAATTGTTAAGTGCCTTGTCAGTTCGATACATGACTAGAAGATGTTTCGAATACCGAATACTTAATGAAAACAAAATTGAAGTGAGTTTAATTATGAAAGAATCGTTTCTTTACTGGACCGTCTTCTTGGTCTTAGAGTTGCCGAATCGACCATAGACCAAGAACCATGATAGGGTATTTGACATTTTATGGGAATCATCAAAATAGTTTTCATATTAACTTATAATATAAAAGTCATTTAAATTCAATTTTTTACTATAAAAATAGTAAGTAGTCATATTATCTTTCAGGAATACTTGGAAATGTATACTTATATTTTGCATGCAGTCAAATACCCTATTATAAAAAGTCGGTTCGAGTTTTACATAACCTATAACCCGAAAATGTCAAGAGTTTTCAAGTTAATTTTAGAATATCTGTGTTAAATCAAACACGAAACTACTATCACATAAAAAAAAACATTAAACTAATTCAAAAACCATTAACATTGTACGTCGATAAACGACTGCAATTGTTATAAACAATAACTTAGATTCATTAATGTATTAATAACAATAATTATAATTTAAAGTCGTTTTAAACGAAACAAAAAAAAACTCACGAAATATTGTTAAGGTACAACACCAACCGCACTTAAAAGGGATAAGAATCAAAATTTTNAAAAAAAAACATTAAACTAATTCAAAAACCATTAACATTGTACGTCGATAAACGACTGCAATTGTTATAAACAATAACTTAGATTCATTAATGTATTAATAACAATAATTATAATTTAAAGTCGTTTTAAACGAAACAAAAAAAAACTCACGAAATATTGTTAAGGTACAACACCAACCGCACTTAAAAGGGATAAGAATCAAAATTTTGAAATATTTAATTATTTTTGCAATGAATTAATTGACGTTCAGGCTGACCTGATGTTAAGGCGACTGCATAAATATCGCAAAACTGATTTTACTATTGCAACAGCTCATAAGCATAATTACTGGTGGACCTCTTGTGAGTCCGCACGGGTAGGTACCACCGCTTGCCTATTTCTGCCGTGAAGCAGCAATGCGTTTCGGCTTGAAGGGTAGGGCAGCCGTTGTAACTATACTTGAGACCTTACAACTTATATCTCAAGATGGGTGGCGCATTTACGTTGTAAATGTCTATGGGCTCCAGTGACCGCTTAACACCAGGTAGGGCTGTGAGCTCGTCCACCCATCTAAGCAATATAAAAAAAAGGCATTCTGGTTTAGAGGTAAGATTCCATTACCACAGTAGGTAGGTGAACATAGAGTTCTAGATGGTCAAACTCCTTCACATTGTGGAATTTATGGGTTACAGTAAAAAAAATTAAAATCCAAATTAGCCTCTAGTGCATTTGCACAGAAAAGCTTAGCAAATAAGCATACAAAAATTGCAGAAACTTATGACGCTAACACAATTAACAGAATATTTTGATCACTCCAAAAACGGAAATATTGCACAAACAACATTGTCTATTATCAAACACAAACCTTTTTTTTTTTAAATCTAATTATTCATCAAACTGTCAGATTTATTACTTCAATAAGCACATTGCATCAAATAATCACAAAATAAGATTTTATATTAATTAATGACTGTCAACAATATTGTTTATTTAAATTTTAAACATATTTTTTGCTATTCACAACATTAATACAAATTTTTTATTTTTTTTATTTTCGAAAACTGTTACATTAGAACGATAACAAAAACATTAATTAAATAAAAGTATAAACTTAGTAAATAAAACAAGACTAATTATGTAAATATATGAAAACATATGTTCTGTTATCAGTGTTCATGAGGAAGACAAATAATTACAAAGTTTGATTGGCAACAACAAACTACCAATGTTTGTTTATATAAATTAATTAATATGATAATGTGGAGTTGCTATGAAGAATATCTAACAAAAAACATTCTATCATGATCGTTTCTAGACGCCCTAATTTTTAAGATGAATGTGCTAAAACTAACTTTTACGATAAATCATTTTGCACCCGCGATTCTCGTCAGACATAGCACAGACAAATTATAAATACATACATTGCTTGAATATTTTAGTAAAATTTAATAGGCCAGTTTTAATACTATACATCATTTCTTATAATCATTCAAATTTTACGCGAGTTAGGGCGATTTCATTGTATATACAATTTATATAATACAAATATTAACAATAAAAAATAAAAACAGTAGTGTTCTACTTGTAAACGACAAAAAATTTACGTCAAAACTACCACATATGCTTATATACTTGATTCATATGTATATTTACAACCAATAAAAGTTAAAAGTCTTTTAAACTCTGCTGTATTTTATCTATACAGCTTCATTTGTGGGCCTATTAGTTCATACGTAAATTTATTAAATTATTTAATTATTTAATTAATTAATTAATTTATTATTAAATTTACTACGTACCGAATCTAATATGCCCTTTCCGACTGAGGTAGAAATCGTTTAGATTATACTCCTTTTTAAATAGAATATTATTCTAAAAATGTAAACATAATTATGCCGATGAACTTCCAAAATATTTATGATGTAAATTTTTTAGAAAAAATTTGTGGTAATCTGACGGTTTATTAAAAGCGTCAAATTTGACAACTCTGAAAATGTCAAATGTCATAAAAAACATAAATCGATCAATAACAATATGTACCTAAGAAAAATTTTCAATATTACATCACATTTGCTATTATGGTAAAACTAATTAGAATCATAATCACAGCACCAGTTTCACCATGGCATTGACAATGTCCATAGATGGTTCGTTGACTAGGACTATATCGAATTTCTTCTTGTAGTTAGGGAGGTTCCCTTCGGCGCTATGACCGAGGAACCCTACTTTGACGACAACATCACAATGGTCCATTCCCTCAGCCATTCCGGCGTCACCGATATTATCCCCCATTAAGATGACATTACTCCTTTGCTGTACTAAATTATAATAATCGGTGTTTTTAATGGCAGTTTCGTTTTTGTTGTACGTGTGTATGACCTCGCCTTTTATACCGACTATTTTATCGTTCTCGTCGAGAGCTAAGAAGTTTGATACGACCTTGAAATAAAAACAATCCGGTTACATACAGATATTTTAAGATTTTAGAACTAAAATACTATGCGAACACTTTACAGGAGATTTAAATGATCTGTGTGCCTAGTGGGAGTTTTTTAACTCAAATTTGTATGCAGCCGGAACAGCGCGCCTAGCAAGCAGCAAACGTAGGCAAACGTTCCACCTCTATATAAATTTGAGTTAACTTTTACCTTATCGAGAACGTTAAAAAACTCGCACTAAGCACACTGGTTTACTTAGAAAAGCGTTTTCCCCTCATAACTTTTTGTTAAATTTTGTATTAGCTTATATAGTGATTTAATAAATATTTGAAAAGACTAAATTACTTAGGGCACTAACAAATCTGTTCCATATAAATTTATTTTTGGCAGATATATGCTTCGAGGTAGATCTATATAAATTATAGGGACATATATAAATTATAGTACTCCCTTTAAAGATATATTTGTATCATTTGATAATTGTTTTCTGATCAAGTAAAATAAACCAGTTCGGTTGTCTGTAAAAATATCGGGTTTCACAATACAATCACATATTCATTAAAACAATATTAGTGAAAAAAAATATATTACGTCCTTGTATGTACTTTATTTTACATTTAAATGTTTCTAATTGATATTGCATTTATTTCATAACTCAAGTGAATTGAATAGAAAACTCAAGGCGAGGTTGGTTAACACTCAAATTGTAATACTGTTGGCCAACAATTTCTGTTCTATATTAGAAGAAAATGTACAATTTTTTTTACTTGTGCAAAATTTGTAAACATATCATAATAATATATAGTAGTTGAACTGTTTAGAAAAAAATATAACATATTTTACTACTAGCTATTTACTATTTTTGAACCAGGTTTAGAAACAAGGAAAACATTATCTAATCACAATATTCGTTTAACAAGAAATACTGAATATTCTGAAACACGTTGACTAGAATATTTTTTATTAAATTTAACATACCTTGACATGCGGTAACAAAAAATTCGCCGCCTTCAAAGCTGCCACAACGGATTCTCCTAATCCCGCCGAGAACACCAGCACCGGAACCTCATGGGTCTGACTCCAAATTATCAATTCTTTAACGCCCTTCCTGTAATACAACATTCTGTTGGGTAACATTGAACTTTACATATACAAGTGAAATATTGGTACATATTACATTGATGGCTGCGAGTCCGCATCACCACCCTGCCTAGTTCTGTCGTGAAGCAGTAATGCGTTTCAGTTTGAAGGGTGGGGCAACTGTTGTACTGTAAAACCGAGGCTTTTATAAGTCGTCTGGCCTAAAGGATAAGACGTCCGGTGCATTTGTATGTAGCGATGCACCGGTGTACGAATTCCGCAGGCGGGTACCAATTTTCGTAATGAAATACGTACTCAACAAATGTTCACGATTGACTTCCACGGTGAAGGAATATCGTGTAATAAAAATCAAACCCGCAAATTATAATTTGCGTAATTACTGGCGGTAGGACCTCTTGTGAGTCCGCGCGGGTAGGTACCACCACCCTGCTTATTTCTTCCGTGAAGCAGTGATGGTTTCGGTTTGAAGGGTAGGGCAGCCGTTGTAACTATACTTGAGACCTTAGAACTTATAACTCAAGGTGAGTGGCGCATTTACGTTGTAGATGTCTATGGGCTCCAGTAACCACTTAACACCAGGTGGGCTGTGAGCTCGTCCACCCATCTAAGCAATAAAAAAATATAGGTAAAATAAATACCCAGACAAAGAGTAAACAAACGTGCTAATCACATAACGCTTGCCCGATGTGGGAATCGAACCCTAGACCCCCGGCGCAACCGTCTGGGCCGCTAACCACTGCACCACCGAGCCAATCGAATATTTAAACTAGATTTTAATTTACTTATATACATCATCGTAGACTTTTTGAATAATCTCACGTTGTTATAATGTTTTATGAGAACGAAAATGATCTCTAATCTCATGTTTTTTTTTTTTTTTATAAATATTTTACTAACAATCACGCCACGTTAACTGGTCCCGTGATAAGTTCGTAAAGAACTTGTGTTACAGGTACCAGATAACGGAAATAAATGTAAGATTTTTATTATACACATACATATATTTAATATACATCCATAACCCTGGAAAACACATTTATATTTATCATACAAATATCTTCCCTTGGCGGGATTCGAACCCGCGACCCCCTAGTGTAGTGACCATGTCACTTACCACTACACCAGACGGACGGATGTTACTTATATAAATATAAGATCAGATCATATTTACACGTGTATTTCCTAGAAGATAACCTGATAACATCGAGCAACTTTAATTAAATGGTTTTAATTTAATTTAATTTATTATTTATATTTCTGGTAAAACAGAACGCGTCACAAAATGTTTAAAAAAGAACGGTATTTCCATTTAGTGCTGATTAAAAATAAAAAACAATTGTAATTACAACCTATGATTATTATTTTTTCCTACTTATTCTAGTAGCTTTGGGGGGTTATTATAGATTTGCCGAGCTTGTAGGTGAGTTCACGGGGCTCAAACCTGACGACCAGCCTATGAATTAATTTGACTCCTATTTATATGAAAAGACAAATTAAGTGCAACTTTTGTTTTCCGTACCTAAACTGATTTTTTTTGTTCGTTGGTTACTGAAGAGATTTATGGTTTTTGAAGTAAGCTACCTATCCATAGACACAGCCCACTGAGTTCCTCGCCGGATTATCTCAATGGGTCACGATTCCGATCCGGCGGTAGATTCAACGAAGCACTGCTCTTGCTAGGGCTAGTGTTAGCAAATTCTCTCACGTTGAACCCGTGAGCTCACCTACCAGTCCGCGCGTAGCTGCAATAAGCTAATTGGACTACCAGGGATAGGTTTTACTGGTGGTAGGACCTCTTGTTAGTCCGCACGGGTAAGTACCACCACCCTGCCTATTTCTGCCGTAAAGCAGTAATGCGTTTCGGTTTGAAGGGTGGGACAGCCGTTGTAACTATAATGTCTCGAGGTAGGTGGCGGCATTTACGATATAGATGTCTATGGGCTCCAGTAACCACTTAACATCAGTGGTCTGTGAGCTCGTCCACTCATCGATGCAATAAAAAAAAAGCGAAAAAAGAAGTAAACGACCGATTAAATAAAAATTTCAATAACGCAATAAAAGAGTAAATGTGATAAATAAAATTGAATGTTGAGATATCAGCGATCATTGTCGGATTTCGTTCATTGAGTCAACACTAGTTTATTGAAATCAGTTTAATTTATTCGATAAACCAAACATGAATATATATATAAAATATATTTTTATGCAGTGTGCGCCTGAACCGTTCTAGAAAACGGGTGGGAGTTTACAAAGTGGTTTCGGCGTTTCCTCAAACGCAAGGACTAACAGATCGTGTTCCAAAAAATACACTTTAATAATGTACTTAGTTTGGATTCCACGCAGTACTGCATAAAAAAAAATGACTGGACGCGTGACTCAATAAAAAAACCAGTTATTGCGATTAAGTCATAAACGATAAATGAATATTGTATTCGCGTTGGGCTAATCATTTAGATTTCGGAGAGTCTCTTTACGCTGTACAAATAAAATTTTAACCTACATCAAACAAAGACTTCGACTGTATGTACATATATGTTCACGGACTTGTAACATTTGTGGCTCGATTTTAATTATTTTTTTTATTGAAAAGTTTTGCATACTCTCGAAGTAGTGGTCTTGTTTTTAAGTTTATTGATCGTTCTTTAATAACTTCTTTTTTTTTCTTATTTTTATGCCATTAATTCTCCCTTGCCTCCAGCAAATAACCTTCAATTACCTTTCACGAATTCGTGCAATGAAGCTTTATCGGTATAGGAATCAAAAAAGCGATTATGAAATCGGTCGACACCGGATTATTTTATTAATTTACTAGCTGTACTATTATTATTTCTCACCCCCACAAAGATTCTCATCAGTAACGCCCACGCAACTGGTGTAGGGAGTCCAACACTCGTATAAATATTAGCCTGTCCATTAAGTACTTGTATTTTCTACATGGATACCAAGTTTCAAGTCAATCGGATGCATGGTTCAGTAGTTATAACGGAACATCCGTAAAAACCACTATAGATTTATATATTAGTATAGATATAGATTTTATTCGTTAGATTTAAACCGTTCAAAATTCGATACGAATAACAATGAATTTGAATCTCGAATAATTAATCTACGTATGTACTTAAATCTAAATTTAAACTATTGCGTAACGACCTGGAGTCGAATGGTAGACAACAGTTTAGCTCGATGACCCTGGTAGCGAACTTCAATATCGAAATCGGAAAGCAAGTCGACAAGTATTGCTTTGAGATTTTGATCGAGTTTTTTTTTTATTAATTATAAAACACGATAACAGCTAATACCCGCTCAACTTGTTTTTTTTTCTCAACCTAATCGTTGTTAGCTTAAGGGGCTATTCCAAATACGCACGGACCGGTAGGCGAGTTCACGGGCTCAACCTAAGAGAATTGCTAACACTAGCCCTAGCAAGAGCAGTGCTTCGCTGAATCTACCATCGGATTGGAATCACGACCTGCTGAGAAGATCCTGCGAGGAATTCAGCGGCCTGATGTATGGGTTAGGTTGCACTTCGAACTCTGCCAAATTTGACAAGTACGGTTACCAGAGTCCTTATGCTGAAGTTAGAACCGAAGGCGTCTAGTGCTAACGTTAATGGATCTGATGGATTCGTAAGGACGTGTCAGTCATCTCTGTTTCACAAGCGCCTGTCCCGTCACACTTATCCCTAGTAGTACATCCCTTGGTATCAATCACTGACTTATTATAATAGAAGAACGGGCGAGCCCTAATCGGTTCAAGTGATGGTGCCACGATTTAAAATCGAGAGGAAATACCAGATTTTCGTACAAAAATTACATATTTACATAGTACCTAACGTGTATGTATGTATGATTACCAAGGTGAAAAAATTGTCTTAAGCATCTTTTTTTTAAATATTATTCCTATAGGCGTGTTTCGAATAGGTAGGGTAGGGTTCGTTGCATCAAGTAGTTCTCACGCATAGCGGTATATCTAACTATTTATTGACCGAATTCGAAGCTCAGCTGTATCATTTGTACCTATTATGCAATAAATGGTAAGACAAACAAATAAAAATATAGCATTTCTCTCGGTTATCATAGGCGAAGACATAATTAAAATTGCTTTTACGATTTAATCATGCATTTTTTTGTATAGTTTTTTGGGGTCATGTATGTACAACACGTCAAAAATAATAATAATAATAAATACATAAATAGGTAAATAATAATACAAACAAAAAACGGCCAGATTATACCGTAAAAGCTGTTTAAATCAAATAATAATATGTCTTAAATAAGCATTCATTTTCTGAATGATCTTTTTTTTCTGTTAAAAATGCTGCACCTCTGCAACTCCTGACAAGTCATTGAAATACATGTTTCATAACACCACATACATATATTATCTACGTAAATGTATAAGTTACTCACCTAAAACTGTCTATCATTTTATTAGCTACATGTGTCAATTCGCTTCTTGGAAATTGTACTCCTCTGTAACAAAAAAAAATTTTTATTAAGTTAACTTTTTAATATATGACTATGACATAATATGACAGAATACTAATAATATGACAAAAGTCCCATTTAGCAGTTAGCTATCATCAGGCTTACTCTATCTCATATTATTAACAACCAATATTTACATATTATTACCAACACTTACTGGTACCTATTTCTACCATAGCAAGTAGATAGCGATTTACGACAAGTATTACTCAAAATAAACAATACAAAATTTTAAATAAGTATAATAACTGTAGATTAATTGGTAAGAAAAAATCATGAAGCCAAATGTGCAAAAGCAATAAGATTATAAGCGCCTTTTCAATGCAAAGGTTCAAAATGGGTCATTTGTGCCGTTATTGTATGTTTAGTGTTAATATACAATTTGTTTAGGATGTCATTATACCACTTTGTATTGATGACATTTTTAATATATACAGTAAATACCCACAGTTAGAGTTGTGTACAGTTGCTTGACTAAACTATTGTAACTTTGAAACTATATTTTTTCTTTTTCGGTTGTTATAATATATAATGTTTTCTTATTCAATAACCAAAAAACGGAAATTTTTAATTGTACTAGTGAACGGTCAAAGGATCAGTTAAACGGTCGTTTGTTCTATTGTCGTCTTATATGAGAACGGTCAATTCCTTCTTTTTCGTCTTTTTGTGTCTGTCTTGTCTTTTTGTCTCTTTGTTCTGTGTCTCTTTGGTCTCGTTCCATTTATTTTCGAATTCTTTTCAAATCTCTGTCTTAGTCTACGTCTAGTCATTGTAGGTCTTATGTCCTGACAAAGAGGTTGCACTCCACGACAACTAGTGTGATTTGTGATTTTACTTACTTGAGTAATGCATGAGCAGCAATATACCAATCGACCATGTGTTTAGTCTTCTCTTCCACGGTCATAACAGGGTCGGCCTCGATGGGCTTATATATACTTGCTAGCCTGACATCCTCGTCTTTATAGTGTTGTGGGATTGAAGGGCATTCTCTGAACATACCTGGCAAAAATCCAAAGAATAAGATCTTGTTTTTATATAAAAATAAAAAAGCTATTTGGTTGTTATTTTTTAATTACTATTAATTTAACATAGCAGTAATCAGTAGACTTCTAGCCACATCTATATCAAAACAATTTTACTACTGTTGAAAGGGTATATACTGCTGATTTCTGTTACAAACAGATTTGAAATGTATGCTGTTTATTGTAAGACAACGGATCTAAATTCATATATGATATAATTTAATAATAAAAGCAACTGCAGATAAATCACACACACGGTCATCTGGTCCCAAACTAAGATTCCCTGGACTGTGGGAATCAGAGACTGATATACATACTTATATTATATACGTACTTATATTGCATTTAAATATGTATATATAGATTTAAACACCCTGAGATAGAGCAAACAAACCTGTTGATCACGTAAATTTTAACTTAATGTGGGAATCATACCTTCAGCTTTCAGTTTAGCAATCAGAGTCACTAACTACTATACCATTGTCTAACAATGGATTATGATATGGGTTACTTCTCTTGTTGAGTGCATGTTGCAGTAATGAAAAGAGAGTATGAGAAATCAGATATGATTTTTTTTTATTTTTTTTTGTTGTTTATTGGGTGGACGAGCTCACAGCCCACCTGGTGTTAAGTGGTTACTGGAGCCCATAGACATCTACAACGTAAATACCTTGAGATATAAGTTCTAAGATCTCAGTAAAGTTACAATACCTTTTCTCCGCACATCCTTAATTATGGTAGAAGAGTTCAAGAGGATAACTTATGTTTGCTTTATTATGAAGAATTATATTTTCTAACTGCACTATAAATAAGTTCAAAAGTAATAGCTTGAATACTATTGTTCATTTCGTGCTTTATTTCACATTTATTAACACTTACATTGGTTTTTAATGGCAAATATTTAATATTCAAATCGTTGGTATCCATGAGCGACGGTAACCACTTACCATCCAGTGGGCTGTATGCCCTTCTGTCTATTTAGGCAATGAAAAACAAATATATTTGTGATCTCTTATTGGTTTGTGATATTAATATCAAAGCTTTTACACTGGTAATTGAATGTACTTATAAATTAAAAACACACAATGGTTTTTTACAAAAACAGTAAGGAATTACATTTGACTACTAATATAAACTACTTACAGTATTGATGATAAAGAACAAATTTTTCACATACCAAAACTAGTGAGAACGGATTTTCCATTATCCAAAGTGTGTCTTGTCAGCGTATGGTCAAAATCTGTCACTATCTGCAATTTGTTGTGTCCGCCTTTTATAATTCTATTTAACTTCGCGACTAGTTCCGTCTCGTCTCTAATATGGATGTTTTCTCTGTTAAACTCCGGAATTTCTTGAAGCCTCGTTAAAACCTTCATTGCTGAAGTAAATAAACAGTTAAAAACATGTTTGTAACTACACGTATTAAAATTAACTATGTACGCCATAGATAAAATTGGTGTTTATGTTAATAAAAGCTTCCGCAATATATTTGTGAATGCAAATATTTAAACGTAGTTTAGAGGAAGAGATTTCTTGTCATAGCTTAAAAGACTTGGCTACTTACCCATTAATTAATTTAAGAACAATATTATAATGTAATACTCAAATGTTTGTCGCCCGTCCAAGTTGTATTCTTAGAATATTTTCTATTTAAATATGAAAATAGAAAACGGACGAACAGATACAACCTTGGTACAAGAAAAAGATAAGTGACATTATTACTGACAATGATTACTTTGATAGACGAAATTCAAAATATTTATCTTCTGTCATGTCACCTGACATTCTTATCCGTAAAAATTCCGTTCAAAAATTACCAACGGTACCTACCAAAACGGTTTAACGCTAAGGAAAAATCAAGCTAGAGCTAGCTAGTGCACCTGTAGAGTAATTATTTCTTAATATTCTATGGATTCTTTAAAGTATATGGTTTTGCTGTCCAGAGACTTAGGGTGAATATGATTGATTATATAATTTTAAAGTAAGGCAATCCGTATCTACATATATTAACATGTACCGTACCTACTACACAAAAAATTTCGAAATATTTTTATTGACGCTCCATTTTTTCATCCATTAATTCCATCCAGATTAGTTTTTTTTTATTCCATGGTCAAAAGGAATGTGACCCACATATTCGACCCAAAATTGTTTGTCGTGTTTGTGAAAAGTAAAGTACAACAGAATTAATAGGAAATTATTTAGGAATTAAATAGATTAGAATAAAATGGGATCACTTATAACAACATATTTGGATTAGAAATGACATGGAATGAACTTTAAGTAATTTGGTGGAAATTTACTGAGATTTTAATGAACTTCTAAAATATAATATGGATGATGTAAAACTTCCAACCCTAGTCCTTGTAGCTTAGAGACCGTTTTTTGTATCGTAGGAAGTCGACCTTTGTCATGTAAGAGCAGCAGAGACGAGTAATTAACCAAAACTATTCGGCTAGTTTTGGTTAATTACTCGTCTCTGCTGCTCTTCACTAGCTTTTCCATCATTGTGTCCAGTTCCTCACAATGCCCATCAGAAGCCCATACTATTTAAAGTAATTAACATGATACTTCGCTTTCCCATCAAAAAGTGCTAGCCATAGCTAATTAGAAGTAATCTAATAGGAACCAGAATTTCATACGACGATTTCATGAAATGTTGCACATCATATACACTGATTCCGCTAATCTCGATCACTGTTCTACAGACCAGAAATGCCCACTTTGCGACATGAGTTCTAAGTCTCCGTTTTACAGTACGACTGCCGCACCTTTCAAACTTAAATGTATTACTGCTTCACTAGATGGACAGGGTAGCTACTAAGTGCTTGCGAGCCAGACACCTTACCACCGGTAATAACACAAAATTTTGTGTGTTTGATTTGTGTTTTTCCTCGACGTTAATCGTGGAGGTCTCGTGTACATGTTATAACTACGCATTTCATTGGAAAAGTTAGCGCCTGCCTTCGAAATTCGGATTCGAAAACTGGTGTAGTCGCATTACTTGACACAAGTATACCGAGTTTTATCTATTAAATCCCGCCGTTTTGACCAATTTTTAATCTACATTAAAAAAAAAGATCTGCTCAAAATACTCATCCTTTATTATACAATACAAATCTTTCTTTCTCACATTAAGCTATTACAAGATTACAAAATATTTTTAACAATATCGACAATTTTAATATTATTTTACAGTATAACAATTGGGCACTTTGTTACATTGAATATGTTACGGTTATCATGCGAACCGTACTTAGGCACACGTATATTTTTATCAACAACATTTTTTACTACTACAACTTTTATCAACTACAATGACGTTTTTGCTATAGGAAAAATGTATGCCGTAAAAGATTAGGATACACTGGGTACATTGGTACCGTTCGCAAAATCGAAACAATTGGTAACGCAGTCCAAAAACCGTATCCATTTTTATACTGCTAACGGGTCCACGAAATATGAAGTTACTAAAGATATTTATCCTGTTTAGTAGAAGACTGTTTTAGGCTTAAATAAGGAAGATATAATACATAATGCGAATTTCGGTTTTTTAATGGTTTATATAGTTGGGTCTATATACGTGCACAAAAAGTGAACCAACTATATATTATTATGTAATCAAAACGTAACTAAAATGCTCTTAAATTAACGAATACTATTCTAAGTTTCAATTTGAAAATTCAACAGAGATCAAATCCGGTAATAACTGTTTCATAAATTGATACTGATCAGTTCTATGTCAATTTTACAACTAAATGATTATATTATTTACATTGATGAGAAAACACACTTTAATAGCACTTATTTATATATATATATGTGTGTGTGTTATAACGGAGAAATTTAACTGTATGTGTTTTATGACATACAAAATTAAGTACAAGTATGTTATATAACAAAAAATAGTAAAGAGATTGCTGAGCAGATGATTGGTTCGATTCCCACATCAGGCATAAAGTAGTTAAGTGGACGATTAATTTTGTTTGCTAGTTATTTGGGTTTTTGATATTTATATATGTATGTATAAACCTTTATACACATACCTATAAATATTGTATATCAGTCTCGGGTTTCTGTAGCACACGGATTCTTTGTTTGGGGCCAGGTGACCATGTGTGTGTTATTCTTTGAAAATGTACTATTATTATCATTATAACAGTATACTCTAACCTAACCACAATATCGACTAGGCTTAGCAGAACTCGCCCAACATCTCCACAGATGTCATCTTTCATCAATTATATTATTAGCTATATTACAAATTTGCAACCCGCTGTATACAAATACAACTGTACTATTATCTATTATGCAACACTTTAAAATGTCTTGCCATACACATCATACAATATACGCCTTATTTATATTAAAATAAATCAATTATCATGTCTTAAATTTAAATTGTCACTTTTACTTATATCAATTGCCATGTCAATTTTTTTTTTGTTTTTTGTTNTACAAATTTGCAACCCGCTGTATACAAATACAACTGTACTATTATCTATTATGCAACACTTTAAAATGTCTTGCCATACACATCATACAATATACGCCTTATTTATATTAAAATAAATCAATTATCATGTCTTAAATTTAAATTGTCACTTTTACTTATATCAATTGCCATGTCAATTTTTTTTTTGTTTTTTGTTTTCCTCAACCCTATTTTAAATATTAGAAGTTATTACATGCTAGTAACATTCTTACCACAATTCGTATGAAGTGAAGATAAACAGAGGTTATTTATTATGAAGCTTTGTGGTAAATAAGTAAACACAATTAAAATAAATTTGATTACATAACCAATCGATATAGCATTAGGTAATACAATTGTTATATCAATAAATATATTTATGAATATAATATGTTTTTTTTACCAATTTATTCAAAATGTAACTTACCAAAATAAATATAACGTAATTTATATGAGAAACTTAAAATAATCGAAAATCGATTTCATCTGCATTCAAACAATCTACATCAACTTTAGAATGCCTTAACCGACAATTGTGAACAATTTATTGATATTTACTAAATCATTTTGCAGAATCGTCAAATCAATAGCCAGCTTGATGTTTTTTATGCTAAACTCAAAATACCAAACAATGCATTTCGACTGATTCACAATATCGATAAATTTTCATTACAAAAAAAAAATCGATAACATCACTCTATAGAGTGTATAATATATTCTTCAATATACGAAATACTTACAGTTTCAGTGGGTGTTGCGAAACTTATATATTTGATAATTATATACATTATACATGCCAATTAAAAATATACAAATACACAAAAACGTAATTCGCAATGGCATTGCACATAATGTTCCATAGTGAGCGTTGCTTGTTAGTCCTTATAAGCTTTCGGATCTTTCGATACAAGTTCAATCGTCACTAATACGCCGTTTCTTTTTCTTTTTCTGCATCGCCTCCAATCTCATGTCTTCTAAGTCTTCCATTATTCCTGAGAAGCATTTAGAAATTCATTAAAACTGGTAATATTATTTTTGGAACGAAGTTCCTTATGGGACGATGCGGAGGGGTACCCTAACGGGAAAAAACGTACGTAACGTAACATCTTTATAATATTTATTTTTATCAATAAAAAAACCATAATAAAAAATGTATACCCGAATAATAATTTTCTTTATATCACGAATAGAACTTAAAATTTATATTTTTACTAGCTGACCCGGCAGACTTCGTAGTGCCTCAATCGATAAATAAAAGACCTAAACTTTTATATAGAATAAACTTAAAACAAACCAAAGGAATCCGTCCGACGGGGGACATGTCAAAGGGAAAACAAAATTGTTATTTTTATTTAATTCCGAGAATTTTCATATTTTTAGACCTTTTAAACCTTCTCTGGACTTCCACAAATAATTCAAGACCAAAATTAGCCAAATCGGTCAAGCCGTTTTCATGTTATGTCGTGACAACGGAAAACGGGTTTCATTTTTATATAACTAGTCAGGTCATATGTATTGTCACACAGTAAAAACTTTTCTTTTAGAATGCTGGCCACAAAAAAGTTTATTGAATTCGAATTTCGAATTGTTCATGAAAATAAAAATGTATACTTTTAGAATTTTACTCATTTTTAAATATGGAGTGGACGCTTAAAGAAGACCGTGTTGCAGTTATTGCGTTGCATCGTTGCGGTTACGCGCCAATTCAAATTTTTAACATACTGAAAAATTTGAATATAACCAAAAGATTCGTTTATCGTACCATCAAACGATACAATGAAGACTCTAGTGTAGATGACAGGTCAAGAAGTGGTCGCCCTCGGTCTGTTAGGACTCCAGCAGTGATAAAAGCTGTGAAGGCGCGAATTCAAAGAAATCCCAAACGTAAGCAGAAACTGTTGGCCCTTCAGATGGGGTTAAGCAGAACCACGGTGAAAAGGGTGTTAAATGAAGACTTAGGGCTTCGGGCATATCGAAGAAAAACAGGACATCGTTTGAATGCTCGTCTAATGGACCTGAGACTGAAGAGATGCCGCGCTTTGTTGAAGCGGTACGCGGGAAAAAAATATCGGGAAATTCTTTTTTCGGATGAAAAAATTTTTACCGTAGAAGAGAGCTACAACAAACAAAATGATAAGGTGTACGCACACAGTAGTGAAGAAGCGAGCAACCGTATTCCGCGTGTCCAACGAGGTCATTTTCCATCCTCGCTCATGGTATGGTTGGGAGTTTCTTATTGGGGCTTAACAGAGGTACATTTTTGTGAGAAAGGTGTAAAAACGAATGCAGTTGTGTATCAAAATACAGTCCTGACGAACCTTGTGGAACCTGTTTCTCATACCATGTTCAATAACAGGCACTGGGTATTCCAACAAGATTCGGCGCCAGCTCATAGAGCGAAGAGCACACAAGACTGGCTGCCGGCGCGTGAAATCGACTTCATCCGGCACGAAGACTGGCCCTCCTCCAGTCCAGATTTGAATCCGTTAGATTACAAGATATGGCAACACTTGGAGGAAAAGGCGTGCTTAAAGCCTCATCCCAATTTGGAGTCACTCAAGACATCCTTGATTAAGGCAGCCGCCGATATTGACATGGACCTCGTTCGTGCTGTGATAGACGACTGGCCGCGCAGATTGAAGGCCTGTATTCAAAATCACGGAGGTCATTTTGAATAAACTTTAGTGTCATAAGAATCTATGATTTGTTAAGTTCATTTTGGTATATGAATGGTTACATAATGAAGAAACATGTTTCAATTATTTTACATTAAACATGTGACAGAATTTATGACCTGACTAGGTATATAGATAATAAGGAACTTCGTTCTCTTTTTTTATTCCATATATTTTATTTATCAACATAAATAAGTTCCTATGAACATCACGCAGTGGGTAGTTTAGTGTTAAAATTATTAAAATGATATTACATTGTAAGTAAAGTGAGCATAATGTTCTAAATAAATAGACAAGACTATTGAAGCCGATGAAAATGCGAATGCGACCTCCCGCTTTGAGGCTTGCGGTCTAAGTCTCAATTGTATAACTATCGTGTCACCCATGAAATCGGAACGCATGGCACAAACTTTGGTATTCATACCCTATACCACTCAACGATACAGTCTATTAAAATACATAGGGAGAACAGTGAATATTTGCCGAGCGATAATGCGCCTTATCGTATCGATAAGTTCATATTGAAAACAAACATTAGAGTCGTAGAGCATTATTTAACTATGATTGTTCGTTTATTTCGATCGTGATTCACAATGTCATCGTGTTGGAAGTCGTCACAGCTAGGTGCACTACTTCGCTTCCAAAACTATTTTTAAAACGTTTAAACTAAATAGTGAATTGGTTCATTTCACCAGTCGGAGCGCCGCGAGCTCGCCAAGTCGCACGGAGCTGGAATAGCCCCTTGACGCTAACAGCGATTAGGTAAACAAAAAAAAAGTTTGACTCTTACCAATTTTTTTGCTGATGTACTCCTCGCGTTGTTGTCGTGCGAAACTAGACTCCATCATCGGATCATCGTCGTCATCCATATCTCGGTACCTGACGAAAGCATACAGTCAGCATTATTATATTATTACGTGAAGCAAAAACTTTGTACCCCTTTTTACGAAAATTGCGCGGACGGAGGAGTTTGAAATTTCTCACACTTATAGAGAATATAAAGAAGGAGTGCAGAATATTAATATTTTTTTTAAATTATACAATAAAAATACATTAAATCGATAAAAAACATTACACACACTACCATGTATCTGACATACACACACGCATGCTTACTATTTGTTTATTGTCAAACTTTTCTTATTGCTTAAAGTCTGTTGTCAAATTGAGAATAGATTAAATATTGTTTGTCTTTAACATTTTTGTCTAAAGTGTAGTCTTGGTGAGATCTGTGATTAAAGAATTATAATAGTATTTGACAATAGAACCATATTAGTGTACAAACTTATAATTTCAATTAATTATAGTGGAATTTGGACTACCGGGGGACCACTAGTAATTAAAGATATTCAATATTTTGTGTAAAAAACGTCCTGTGTGCGAAAGAATCCCGGTCTCTTCGACTAGTGGCAATGGAATGTGAACCAGGACAGATAGGACTGCTGCAATCTGCTTAATTTTTTTTTTCCTACCTATGCTGATAGCTTTGAGAGGCTATGTCAGCTTCGCCTCGACGTGTAGGTGACCTCACGGGGCTCAAACCGGAAGTATTGCTAGCACTGATTCTAGCAAGAGCAGTGTTTCGCAGGATCTACCACCGGATCGGAAACGCGATCTACTGAGAAGATCCGGCGAGAAACTCAGTGGGCTGTGTCTATTTCTAGTACGAAGCTTATACTAGTGGAACTTCGATCTGATGTTTCTATGAGCTACGTTAATCATTTAACGCCAGGTAAACCATGTGCTCGTACATCCATATATACAATCAAATATATAAAATTATATGTATAAATAAAGAGCTAGAAAACTGCCGCTTTGCGCGCATTAAGCATACGTGCGTATATAAGCGTATACGTGCATATTAGTATCAATTTACTTATTAGTACATGCAGTACATTGAATCTGGAGTGAAAATTTCTACCAGAGCTCTAACACAATACAATCTACTACCTTACCTATACACTTGACGTGCCTTTCAAAGTATATCGAGAATGGCTTGTATATTAACGACATTACTCAACATTATATTGATATTATACTATGGAAGCTTCGAAAAAATAATGCTTCAAGTTGTCATTATGGATCCTCCCGATCCATTAACGGTGCTTTTAGGTACCACAAGCACCGGTCACCGTCCTCGTCGAACCCGTCGCTTGCGACGAAAGGCTCGACGAGCGAATTAACCCATAGACAGCCTACTGAGTTTCTCACCGAATTTTCTCAGTGGGTCGCGTTTCCGATCCGGTAGTAGATTCTGCGAAGCACTGCTCTTGCCAGGGCCAGTGTTAGCAACACTTCCGGTTTGAGCCCCGTGCGCTCATCTACACGCTAGGGTAACGCTGATATAGCCTCTCCAGGTTATTAGCATAGGTAGGAAAAAAAAAGCTTCAAGATGACCCAATGAACATGTGACTATTTCGTCCGAATGATGACAACAAAATTTCGCCTATACTAGAGGTTGATAAAAATATACACTTACTTGGACTTATCGTAGCCGAAAATCTCCTTGATGTGTTTAGAATAGTCCATTTGTTCGTCTCCATCGTCAATGAAGTCGTCAAGTTCTGAATCGTATTCCGAATCCGAATCTAGAGTACGACCTGTGGGATAAATAAATAAAAATTAATGGTACATATAATGTCCATGAAAATATTCAGAATATGGTAAGCTACTAATGGAACTCGGTTACAAAAAAAAAACGATCAACTTTGTGATATAAATACTTCTTTTAATTTATTGTATAATAAATACCTTTGATATGATTACAGGATTGTTCCTAAAGGTCCCTATTCGAGTCGCATACAATAACATTAAAGTTTAATTTGGTCCCGACGCATACTCATTACTTATTAACAAGATTATAATTAAATTGTTACATGTCACCATTGTTTACTGCCCCTCTTGAATTCTTCGATGCGATAACCCCTTAAAGAACGTAATCAGTCTTAAGTCTGATCGACTTTTTGTTATATTCTCTAAATTATGGTGCAATCTCAGAATACTGTGAATATTATTACTGCTTGTTTGGAATCCACAGGCGCTGAGCTAGGCTTAATAAAATTATCGGGGAATGTGTGGTCTCCAATGCTGTTATGAATAGCAGTGATAGTATGAATTTTTAATAAAATAAATTGGTAAGCTTTAACAGTTTTTTTTTGTAAGTTTTCTAAAAGCCCTATGTACCTAAACTGATGGCATAGTATGACACATTTTTAAAACTGTTCTTGAATTAAACCACAATCCATTATAGATAATTATTTATGGCCTTAATCCTCTTGATGCGTTGAAATTGAATTAACACGAAAAAAATTTATCTTCAGTAGTTAATTAATAGCATTAGATATTTATAAACTGTTCAGAATTTCTCACTACCCTGTTAACCAGGTCACTATCGTTTACAATTATAATGAAAAGCTAATGAGAATTATTGATAAAGTAGCTCATACCGTTTTCAAATTAGGACCAGTTCCGATAGGCATGAAAATAAAATATGATTAACTTATTTGGTCATTGTAAGGTATTGAATTTAAACAATACAGCCTTAGAGATATATATGCACATACATGTAAATTTCAATCTAAGAGATGTTCTTAACAAAAATTGTTTGGAGAAGAAATAAACACGTCATTACGGATCCTCCCGATCTATTAAGGGTGCTTTTAGGTACCACAAGCACCGGTCACCGTCCTCGCGGAGTCCATCGCTTGCACAAGTAAATTAACCCATAGACACAGCCCACTGAGTTTCTCGTCGGATCTTCTCACTGGCCCTAGCACTGCTCTTGCTAGGGCCAGTGTTAGCAACACTCCCGGTTTGAGCCCCGTGAGCTCACCTACACGTCAAGGAGCAGCTGAAATACTCTCTCAAGGCTATCGACATAGGCAGAAAAAAAGATTGGAGAATGTTGCTACATCCTAAATTTTTCCTCAATTTCAATTTGAGACTAAAACGTTCAACTGTATGTAACTGTACACAGTTTTGTGTAAAATACCCCATGAAAATCGGCTATCCAGACCAGATTTGTTACTAATAACCAATAATGAACACAAACCAACATAAGCATTGCGTATGCGCAAACACAAAAGGCCTTTGGTGACATCTGGTATACGCTGCATCCCATTCGAGAAAAGGGTAGAAATACTATTATTGCTATTAGCGGGAGCTATGTTTAAATGACAATAACTCTTAAAGTAATAGACATGTAGTTGTAAATTTAATGTTGTATTGTAGGTTAGATAAAAAGCTATCGATCTAGTAAAAACATTAAATGGGCTATGGCTAGTGATTTTGTAGTAATTTGCAATCATTTTTTAATTTACGTATTTTTTTCTTTTTTTAAGGGTCATATTTTTTTTCTAAATTTTGTAGATAGTAAACACGTTCTTGATAATGTAAATGACAGAAAGTATTATTGCCCGTCGAACAAGCATATTTTTATCGCAGTGAAACCCAAACTTTTACTGATATGATGTTTTTGTGCACATGTAGTGAAATTCCATTAAAAAAATTTAAATGGCTGCCATTAAACACGGATGTGGGTTGGACCCAAGTTTATGCTGTATTTGTATATTAAAAGAGTTGTTTTATAAGTATCTAGAATATCGCTAGTCTGTAAATGGACACATTGTATATGAATATATTAAAAACGTTTATAAGTATGTATGCCAGCCTCCGGTACCCATAACACAGGAAATCTGAATTTGGGACTGGATGATCATGCGTGATTTATTAAAANAACACGGATGTGGGTTGGACCCAAGTTTATGCTGTATTTGTATATTAAAAGAGTTGTTTTATAAGTATCTAGAATATCGCTAGTCTGTAAATGGACACATTGTATATGAATATATTAAAAACGTTTATAAGTATGTATGCCAGCCTCCGGTACCCATAACACAGGAAATCTGAATTTGGGACTGGATGATCATGCGTGATTTATTAAAATATGTATATTTATTATTCAATTCAATTAATAAAAATATTTATATTTAATAGTAAAATCAATAACTTACGTTTAGGTTTTCCCTGAGGTTTTCTCCTAACGTCACCCGGTGGATACTGCCGAGTACCGTCCGGTCTCCTAGCGCCATTCTTCCCTAATGAATTCACATGTTTGTCGAAGTCAAAACTATTAGAGATTTTCGGCTTACTCGGCCCATTTTGAACTTTTGTACTACTCGGTTGCAACCTCTTGTCATCTGGCCTTTTTGAATCTTTTTCAGGTAAACGTTTACCATTTTCTGGTCGACTATCCCCAACTTTACTTTTAGTTAATGGAACTTTGCCATTTATACCATTCTTTTGGACAGTTTGTTCTTTAGGTTTCGGCACCGATTTACCCTGAACATGACCATTCATGTATTTACCATCTCCACTTCTGCTCAGTGCACTCGGTTTCTTTTCATTGGAATTTTTATCTATCCTGTATGTATTCTGACTCTTCAAATCAATATTTTTCTTTACATTTTCGCTTAATTTAGTTTTATCTGCAGTTTTATCTATTGGTTTTGTTTTTTCTGTTGGCTTAGTTTCGAGCTTAGACTTTGCCTTTTCTAATCTCTCTCTGTCTTTATTAAGCCTTTCAATGTCTCTTTCAATTCTTTCTCTTTCGGCTTTCAACCTTTCTAATCTTTCTCTCTCCAATTTCTCCTTCTCCCGTTCAGATTTTTCTTTGTCTACTTTAGGCTTCTCTTTATCTTTTATGGTTCTTTCATTTTTTTCTCTTTCTACTGGTTTGGAGTTTATGTTTTTGTTAGAATTTCTATCACCGATTTTTGGTATGCGACCTAATCCTCCACTAGTCTCAGGCTTGCGCTCCCTCTCTGATGGTTTTTCATCTTTATGAGTTACTTTTTCTTCTTTTTGAACTGAAACAATAATTTTTAGTTAAATTTTAAAGATTCATATTCAGAAAGGTCTTCAAAAAACTGATGATTATATAAAAGCATTGAAATATTTACTAACCTTTCTTTCCACCATATTTCTCAGCCTCTAATCTTTCTAAACGACGTTGCCTTCGAGCCATCTCATCCTCATATTCTTTCTTTTGTTTTTTGGTCATTGGCCTCTCTGGTTCAGCTTCTTGGACAGGTTTCTTAGTACTAATTTCAATAGGTTCACTCTTTTTTTGTTCCGCAATTTTCAACAGCTGGTTAAAGTCCAAAGGAGGTGGTGCAGGTTTTCTTATTTTAGGTTTCTCATCTTTCTTCTTTTCGACTTCATGTTTCGAAGGAGGACTTGGTTCTCTTTCTGTAACACGATTTACAATATTAACACACAACTACAGACAACTACCACATTACAGAAAAAAATAATTTAGCTAGTTTAAGGAGACAATCACACACAATTACTATCATACCAATGAGAACTCTCTTCTTAATCTATTATTCTATCAATGCTTGCAATTAGTGGTCCATTAAATCTCAATAAAAATTAATTTATGAAACAAAAAAATCCCCGGCCTTTAAAATATTAACTTAAATGCAAATAGCAAGCTATTAATAAATGGTGGGATAATACACGGAATAGATAAATAACGTTGGAATGGTAATGTAGGCGGGGCAAGCGTACCACAGTTATGTTTCTACAATCATAGCTCGACCGATTCTTTCATTCATCGCGTTTAGTGCGCTTCGGACTACTTGGGCGAACAGATCTCCGCTTTATAATGCCGTGTTGTGTAATTATAACTTGTAAAACAAAAATTCAGACCTCAAGTATAGAGCGAGGAGGTATATCTTTCGATCGGTAAGTCGAAATTACCATTTAATTACAATATTATTTGTCTAAAACATAAAAATATACTGAGCATTATGAAATTCCAAACATTAACAACATTATTGCAACAAGTTATAAATAACATACATTGCGCGATGTGTACTCGCCTAATGAACGCAATGACCAAGTCCGCTTCCAACGTACTACATGCATTGCGTTCTCTCTACACTTCAATCTTTGAAATTTCGGCCTTTGCCCTGATTGGCCGTAGTGCACCGCGCTAGTTTGTCGATAGTAAGGTGACCATGTGGTGAAATAAAATCATCGACAGAATTCTCGACTATATTTACATTTGACATGGATATTTTTTGTATTATTTTATATTTAATTAATGATACCTAGTATATTCTTAGTGAGACGTATTTTGAGTAAAATAAATATGTATTATTATTTTTGAATTATTATCATTGAATTAATGTGAAGGTATAATATAAAGGGACATGTAGACCTCTCATTTACGGGTATTTACTATATTGTCTATGACGTATTAAAATCTAAGTAAAGTGCTATTTGACTTACGCAATAAATTATAAATTTTAGGTTTCCTAAAGAACCTAACGCCAGGGAACAATAGATTGACGTGACAGGTAGAGGAAACTGGAGACAAAGACGAGTACTATTTGCTCTCAACATTTTACTGAAAATGATTTTACCATAAAAAAATCAAGCTACACTTTGTTTTAAAAATTCATTCGCAATTAATAGCAAGCGCCATCTGCTTAACAAATACGTTTTATTCCAGGGATAGTGGTTATTTGTAATTAATAAAAGTTTAATCGTTTTTTTTCAATATTTATTTCATGTTTCATTTTTCCCCATTCATTCATCAGATAATTTATCGATAAAGAATATCGGTTTAACAAGCACTAGCGTGTATGAACATTTTTATTGCCTTTTTGCATGTGTGAGTGTGTATGCCTACGGGAATTTAGTGCTAGTTTGCGAACGAATATCTGCCCTGAAATTTATGTGTGGGTGTTTTTGTTGTGTGCGAAATATTTGTAATCATAGTTTGCGTATGTGTAGAAATTAAAATAGTGGGGATGAAGCGGCGACTCTGGTCCTAATACAAAATTAGAGCAAAGGCCTTTCCAACCTTATTTATCTATTCCGTAGGATAATATGTAGGAGATAAGCTAATAGTTCAATTAGTGGTGATTTAATAGAAACATTGAAATAGAACAAAAATGTGTTAAACGTCAAACGAAAACAGATTTTTTATTTCATTTAACATTTTTTACTCCTTAAATTGAAGATTAAAGAAATTAGTTCCATGTTATATATTTTAGATTTCAATAAACAATAATTATTATTCAATACAATTGTCACTTAGACATCAGGTCCTTTGGTGGGTAGCAGCATTTAGATTGTAATATCTGTTGGCTCTGTTAATCACTTAACAGTAGCTCGTTCACCCATCTACACACAAAAATCTTTTGAAAATTTCCTAATACGCAAGAAATAAAAACTTTACTAACCTCCATTTTCAGTACGCCTTCTCCTTTTATGAGGAACTGGTTCATCTTCATGCTGAAGAGCATTTTTGACCCTTTCTCTTGTACCATTCAAATCTTTTTTCACAGATTTCACTGCAAAAGTATATATTTTTATTTATTTATTTATTGTTTAGGTGGGTAAACGAGCTCCAGCCCACCTGGTGTTAAGTAGTTACTGGAGCCCATAGACATCTATAATGTAAATCCCGCCACCCACCAGATATGAGTTCTAAAGTCTCAGTATAGTTACAACGGCTGCCCCACCCTTCAAACCAAAACGCATTACTGCTTCATGGCAGAAATAAGCGATGGTAGTACCTACGCATGTGGACTCACAAGTGGTCCTACCACCAGTAAGATGATATGATGATAGTTCTGGTGTGTTGATTGATTTATATCAGTATTTTGAGTTTGCAAGGAGATAGTAGTTGAGCTATTATTTATCTGTATCCTTCTAGAAAAAGTGAAGTCGTCGTGGCTTAACGGATAAGACGTCCGATGTATTCGTGTTGAGCGATGCACCGGTGTTCGAATCTCAGGCGGGTACCAATTTTTCTAATGAAATATGTACTCAACAATTGTTTACGATTGATTTCCACGGTGAAGGAATAACATCGTGTAATAAAAATGAAACCCGCAAAATTATAATTTGCGTAATTACTGGTGGTAGGACCTCTTGTGAGTCCGCGCGGATGGGTACCATCACCCTGCCTATTTCTGCCGTGAAGCAGTAATGCGTTTCGGTTTGAAGGGTGGGGCAGCCGTTGTAACTATACTTGAGACCTTAGAACTTATATCTCAAGGTGGGTGGCGCATCTACGTTGTAGATGTCTATGGGCTCCAGTAACCACTTAACACCAGGTGGGCTGTGAGCTCGTCCACCCATCTAAGCAATAAAAAAAAACTGAGATACATTTTATAATCAGTGTTATGGCATCTTATGAGCCCAAGCATGTTGATATTTTGTGCACCTTGCATATTTTAACTGGAAATTTATTACTTTGCAGTCACCAGGATGCATTATTATGTATCCCCGTTTATAGGATGGAACAACCATTATACTATGCAAATGAGACTTGACCTTTTGTTGTTGTGGGTGCTGGGGTGGTTTTCAATTTGTAATATAGATGTGCTCTGGTAATCTTCACAGACAAGTACATTTTATGCAAGTAGTGTTTTTGGAAGCTGATCAATCATCACCATGTAACAGATAGAAATAAAAATAGACAAAATGCATGTAATGTAAGAAAACCATTTTATGTGTTAAATTTTGAATACCAAAATTTGTTTACCGTTTCGAATGTCACAAATCACACTTCTATTTGCAAATGCACACAAAGCATTTTACGATTGATTTTACTCACTAAGCTGAAAAATATATAGCAGCGTAATTTGATACTCACAACTACTTGGAAACTTTGGTTCCTCAGGTATCTTACTGTACTTTTCCATCATCTTAGCATAAATGGCAGCAGCCGCCTGAGACTCATAGCCATAGTCATCTTGATCAGGTTGTTCAGGGCCAGTGAGAGTTACAGCTGTGTTCTCTCTATCCACATCCTCAATAACTGATTTATTAGCAGACTTGATGACTTTTAAGGTTTTCTGGATCTTGCGGAGCGCTTTAGGATCCCGCATGGCCAGAAGCTCTTCTTTTTTCTTCTGAGCCTCAATTTTCTTTTGATATTCTTCTTCATCTTTTTTCGCCAAAAACTTCTGTATGTTAGCCGAAAGTTTCTCTTTTTGTCTCTGTTCCTTTTTTAAAGGATCTAAACGAGCCTTGTAGTAAAAATGATCCTGAAAAAACTTTCCAATGTTACGAGATTTAACAAAGATCCTTAACATTATCTAAACAAGGTCATCTTTAATAGTAGTGAAAACTATAATAAGATACTAACATTCAATGCAAAATTAAAAAACGTATACTACTTATAAAAGATGATAAAAGGTTTTTTCCAAAATATTATTAATTAATACTCACGGATGACTTTTGTTGTTGATTTCGCTGAGCAGCTAAAAGCGTCTCGCGAAAGTCCATTTTCTTTTTTCAATATTAAACTTCAATAGTGAAATGTTAAAAACAGTGCAACATAGCAAAATTTTCAGAAACTATTTACGCTTTTTCGCAAAATACGTGTCAGATATAACTTCGACACACAATCCTGCCATTTTCTGGAAACGTACTGAATAGAGTTGCAAGCTTTTAATTTCCATGTAATAAAACCAATGTGACCAGCTTCAAAGAAGCTTAAAAAAAAATTAAAGGTCTGCACTTTCTTAGCATTATGAAGATGCTCATTACATTTTGTGAACATATTTGTATTATTTTCACATTCATTATTTTCCACGTTCAAGGACCTTTGTGTAAGAAATGATTCCTTTGTTAGATTTCAAAAAAAGAGTTCTCCAAAATATACAGTTCCCAAATATTTATTTAGAAAGTTTTTTTTTAAAGTGGCANGATAACTTCCCACTACTAGAGCCCATCTTACCAATCGGTTATTGGCTAGTTTAGGAAGGTTGCGGCGTGCACCCATAATATGTATAAGAGGCTTATGGTCCGTAACTAGATTAAATTTCGTTCCTCTCAAGTACTGATCAAATTTTTTTATACCAAATACTATTGCTAAAGCTTCACGATCAATAACGGAATATTTCATTTCCGCTGGTCGTAGTTTCCTTGAAGCAAAAGCAATTGGTTGTTCTATGTTCGAGTCCTTGTGGAATAATACTGCACCCAATCCCATCCTCGTCGCCAATATAATAAAACAATGTTTTCAAGACATAGCATAAAATATAATAATGATAGGTGGTAAAAATGACAATGTGTTCGAAGTATATTTCAAAATAATGGAATATAGAAAAGAAGGTTACAACAAGATAAATCTTTAATAAAATTTTTTTGCCATCTTTTAAGTTGAATTGGGCTGTTGATCCTCCTTGTTATAAATAAATAATTAAGTCAATAAATAGTGTTTTTACTTTGAAATCGGTAATTTTATGTGCGAGGTACAAAGGTCTAAAACTTTATATCTCAAGGTGGGTGGCGCATTTAAGTTGTAGATGTCTATGGGCTCCAGTAACCACTTAACACTAGGTGGGCTGTGAGCTCGTCCACCCATCTAAGCAATAAAAAAATCTTTAAATATTTTTTTTTAAGGGATTTTATGACCTGGTAACTAAGACTTTTAAGTCATGTCTTATTTTAATTTATATTCTTATTTTTATGAAAAATGATAATGAGGGAGTTCATATAGAGTCCCTTCTTTATTTCGCCGTAAAGTCGTGTTTTATATAATTAACACCACAGTTGAAACAATATAAATTTTATTGTTGTAGCGGTATAAACAATTCTAAGTAATTATATTACATTAGTTATTAAACACATTATATGTTTTAAATTTTCGGTGGTGAAAAGGTCCCATGTTACAGACTATATTCTTTTTCCCACATCTCGTGCGTTCCGGCTTACGCATCATAAAAATGTGCGTTCATAAACGCCACAATAATATGGAGTGAAATGAAATGAAATGAAGATGATTAATTTGAGACATTAATCAACTGGGATGAAATTAAATGAAATGAGATGTTATAGGATGAAATATAATCTTAGTAAAATGGTGGTCATGTACTAAGATTTTTTCAATGGACTTTTTGGAGGATCCCGAGAAGTTACGTCCAGTGGATTTGTTTCATTTTCCCACATTTGTGCACCTTCGCAGATATTAATCACACAACTTCACTCCTCGCGTTCCCGCCAAAAAGTCTAAAAATTTTGTAGAAATGTCACCGCATAGATTATATCACATAAATAAGAATTGGCAACACTACAGCAGCTCTTGTCAGATTCTTTCAATTTCTTTCTTTTTCAAAAGTTGACGGAACATTGAACCATGGTTTGTGTTTGTTTCAAAATATTTTATCATAAAATTCTAGTGGAATCGCTTATCAAAAATATTTTTTCCGATTTATTTTATATTGTTTAAGTGATGATGAAGCTGCTGTGTAGTATATTTCAGATAGAATGTGTTGTGTTCGAACTTTATAAATTCTTGTTCTCCTGCAGGCCACCTCAAAAAAGAAGACTAGGAAGCTGAGAGGTCATGTTAGTCACGGACATGGTCGTATCGGTTAGTGAATCCATTTATCTGAGATAATTTTGAAATTGCAGAGATAAACAAAAGTCTAACCTATACAAACACACTGCTCTGTATGTAATTCCAAAAGAATACCTAATACAATAAATTCTTATATTATTATCAAAGAAATGTATGCAGGTCAACCTACAAAAAAATGAGCAGTACCTAGTTTCATCCTCGTATGCTACTCTTAAGGAGTAGTGTCATGAAAAATATTTCATACAATATCATGTTAGNTGCAGAGATAAACAAAAGTCTAACCTATACAAACACACTGCTCTGTATGTAATTCCAAAAGAATACCTAATACAATAAATTCTTATATTATTATCAAAGAAATGTATGCAGGTCAACCTACAAAAAAATGAGCAGTACCTAGTTTCATCCTCGTATGCTACTCTTAAGGAGTAGTGTCATGAAAAATATTTCATACAATATCATGTTAGCGAAGTGCTATTTTCAATTTAAATTACATTAAACACGTCTATAACGCTCTTAAAAAGTTAACAATTATTTCTCAGAATAATAGTTTTTACCTAATTCCAGGAAAGCACCGTAAGCATCCAGGAGGTCGTGGTAATGCTGGTGGTGAGCACCATCACAGAATCAACATGGACAAGTACCATCCTGGATACTTTGGCAAAGTATGTAAAAATTACTACTATTTTGCGTTTATCTTTTGTGCAAGTTAAAGATAATTAAATTAACATGATTTATTTGATATCTACTAATGTTAAGAATCTGTATTTGCTTCATTTATAAATGTCTATGGTAAATAAGAACTAGTGATTTGTCATTCCTTAAATGCCAATTAATATTAGGTGTTTAGTTTTTATAAGACTTTTGCTTTCTCTGTTTAGTGCACTAGAGATTCACACTACTCTACTTTGGTGTTCAGAAACATTCCCATAATAGTCTCATAGGAGAAAAATTTATTTCATGCATTTTAATGTCGTTTTTTCCTGTCACCCTTGACCCTACTTCATATTTTTTATATTTAATGTTGGTTTGTATGTTTTCAGCTTGGTATGAGAAATTTCCACTTTAGAAAGAACAAGAATTTCTGTCCAGTTTTGAACTTAGATAAGCTTTGGACATTAGTCTCTGAACAGACGAGGCTGAAGTATGCATCTGCTCCAGATGGCAAGGTCCCCGTCATCAATATTGTCAAAGCTGTGAGTAAATATTATTATTTTTTGTTAACTAGTTCAAAAGAAAGAAGTAACAGATTTCTTTCGTTAACAACACATAATATTTTTATCTTGGATACAATAATTTTTAAATAAATTGTAATGTAATATTTATGTAAAATTAATTTGCTTCAAAAACTTGAAGATTGCAACAAGTCTATGTCTGAAGTGCACATTGTGGCATTTTATAATCAAAATGAACGTGTTAAAAATCAAAGCAATAAAAGGCGATTTTTATATCATTAAATTTTTACTATTATTTGCTCAGTTGAAGGTAAATGAGACAATAGTATTCTTATTGTGCGGGCCAGTAATTACAATTTACCATTGGCTACCTGTGTATTAACTGAATTATTTAAGTCTTGGTGTAGTTTAGTCTACTAATATATGATGGCACGGCCAGAACTTTGATTTTCAATAGTTATAAATAAAATAACAGAACCTATTTCATGTTACTTTCCAAATTGAAAAAACATTTTTAACTTATTTTTCATTTATTATAATTTAATATAATTATAATTTATATATGGGTATATATAAAAAATTATTCCCATGACAGAGCTGTAATAGTTAACTGCTTAATACAGTGGTACCTCGATATATGAGTGCTCTAATATGTAAGTGTTTTGAGATATGAGCTGCTGAGCAACCGATATTTTGCTTTGAGATGAGAGCAAGATTTGAGAGACAAGGAATCACACACTATACCAAGTCTAACAGTATTTCCTACCTCAGTCTGTGTTCTTGTTTCCGTGGTTTTTAATTTTTTTTTCATAATTTGGGTCCGCGGTATGCATTTTGTATATTTACAAAACATTATAATATTTATTTTTATAACTAGTCCTAAGAAGAAGATGTGTTCACTTAGCTTTTTCTTTTATTATGTTTTTATAGAATATTTTTTGTTATTTATAAATAAATGTTATTGTAAATGCATGCTTCTAATTAAAAAACAGAAATGACAGGTGGTTTTTTGGAAGCTGTAATGGATTAATGGCATTTAAATTAATTTCAATGGGGAAAATTGCTTTGAGATACTAGCAATTTGACATACGAACAAGGTTACAGAATGAATCAAACTTGTATATCAAGGTACCACTGTGTTTGTATATTCAGATTTCATTTAAAAATAATTAATTTTCAGGGGGTACCAAATGATTTAAACTTTAAAGGCTTTTAGGAGCCTTAAATAAGCAACAGTCCATATTGTTCCTAATAATTATTATTAGTAATAATTAGTAAAATTAGTATTAGTAATAAGTATTATTAGTAATAATTGTTACTATTTTTATAAAAAAAATAGGTCTGTTGCTCTGTAGATTAAAACGAAAAAATTTAATAAACTTTTAATCATTCCAGGGATACTACAAGTTGCTAGGCAAAGGCAAACTCCCCAAACAACCTGTCATAGTAAAAGCAAAGTTCTTCTCAAAATCAGCAGAGAAGAAAATCAAGGATGTGGGTGGTGCTTGTGTACTATCTGCGTAAATAATAAGTAATAATATCTAAAATATGTAGTTTTATTTGTGGTTTCACTTATTTTACCTCCTATCTTTTGACATAATGCTGAATAAACTTAATCGATTTTGTAATTGTTCCAATAGGATGATTTTTTTTTATTGCCTTGGTGGGTGGACTAACTCACGGCCCACCCAATGTTAAGTGGTCACCGGAGCCCATAGACATCTACAACGTAAATGCCGCCACCCACCTTGAGTAACGAGTTCTAAAATCTCAATATAGTTATGATGGCTGCCCCATCCTTCAAACCAAAATGCATTACCTACTGCTTCACGGCAGAAATAGGCGGGGCGGTGGTACCCGTGCGGACTCACAAGACGTCCTACCACAAGTAAATTAGAACCCAAACTACTAGAACCCCAATATTTTGGTAGGTTAACAACAAAGGAAGATCTTCCACCAAGCGGGTGTAATTGCTCAATAGACCGATAGTTCGAATGTTGGTCGGATCTTAGAATTTGCAAACTTATGAAAATTTAGTGAAATTCAGGCATCTGTAAAATATCTCGTGTTTTATGGTAGCTATCGCCACAATATCTATCATAATATGAAAGTAAACACTTACACACACAGTAAACATTACTTAGTAGGTAATTTAGAAAAACAATGATGTGATTTATTGTCGTATTGTTACTTAGGCAGAAATCATGCGTCTATTTCTGCGTGCGTTTCGGTTTAAAGGGTGGGGCAGCCGTTGTAACTATACTGAGACCTTAGAACTTATATCTCAAGGTGGCTTGCGCATTTACGTTGTAGATGTCTATGGGCTCCAGTAACGACTTAACACCAGGTGGGCCATCAGCTCGTCCAGCCATATAAGTAAAAAAAAACAACAACTTTTACTTAATGATGAAAATGTATTTGATAAAAAGACATTAATGTTACGAGATGGGGCTCAGGATAAAAACTGTTCACCGAAATACTAATTAAAACAAAATTTATTATTACGATAGCTATGGTAGACTTCACTCTTTCGATTTCTTGGAGTGATCCATTGACAATGACTTAAGAGAGAGTGAGATAGGTAGGAGTGATCCTGAAGACCGAATGATAAACAGTCGACGTCGCCCCAACCACGTCCTTACGGATCCTCCCGATCCATTAACGGTGCTTTTAGGTACCAGAAGCAACGGTCACCGTCCTCATCGAACCAATCACCGATTTTGCAGAGTTCATCTTCAAAAGTAAGAAGCACCATCTTAGTTTGTTAGTGTTCGTCTAAAGGAAACCACATAAGGTAGCGCTATAGTGGCAAGTGGAAAGATTTAAAATACATCACCATTTTATCCAATCACCAGATTAGGATACTCAAAATAGGGTCTAATTATTAAAAAAATCTATATACCTCAAAATCTGATAGCATTAAGAGTTAAAGGAATTTCGAGTACACCGGTTGTAGTTGGTCAACCACACCACATTCTACTACAACCGCTCGTCGATGCTCGTGATATAGTCTTATTTCTGCCTAGGTGCGTTAAATTGTTCCGATTTGAAGACTCAAGATTTCACATTCAAGGTCAAGAGTGATGCCAAAAAAACATGTTTTATCAGCATCTATAGCGACATATCGAATAATTCTAGAAATCGTTTCAAAATTAATCAATCCCAAAAAAAAAATTAAAAGTATGTTAACACTGATTAAAAAAACATTGAAAAATATCAAACTGATTAAAATGCCAATGCAAGCTACTGTAGAAATCGTACACAATGCGTTTTCATTTAGCATCTAGTGCTAATGCTTTGACTTTCGAAATGATTTACCTATTTCTTAGTGAGGTTTTTCGCTTTGTGAAAATGAAACTATTAATAGGTTTTAATTTACTTTACAAAATAATGTCTACTAGCAAAACAGTACAGGTAATAATATATCTTGTAATTACATGAGATCTCATAATTTACTATGTAATGTCATAATGCAAAAGTATGGATGTAGCTTAATGATCTATTAGTAACATAAAATTTAAGCTTGCTATCCTAACTTTTAAGAAATAAATATAGATTTTGGAGTCACAAACTATTCAAAGTATTGTCATCATATTGTTACTTCATTAGATTATAAAATAGAATAGAATGTATTGTAAATATTCACAAAATCAAATTTTATTAAATTAAATACAATCATATATCTTACGATTCAAGCTTTCGTATCCATATAAACAAAGTTAATCCTAAAGTATAACATTTTTGACAGGCACTCTTAGAACCGATTTTATTATTATTAGTAACATTATGTTAGGCCTTATTTCATTTTATGGAAGGCTAAAAACTAAAGCTATGGCCTGTGGGTGTAAATAGTAACGTTAGTGACAGCTTGTCCTAATTGTGTTAATTGTTCAGGAGGGCTTTGTGATTGTGTGGTATCAGTAGAGCGCACTTGCTTTGCCTTCTTTCTTGCAGCATCACTTTCAGCATAATACATTCCTAACCTAGTTTTTATAGCGGCAAGTGCTGCCCCATTTATTTCATCATGAAATATGTTATTATATCTCCACTGTTTGACTAATGGACCCTTTTTTCTTTCTTTTTTTATTTTCTTCTTCTCAGGTTCATTGACTGCTTGTGATAAGTTACTGTTTTGATTCATAGGGGTGTTATCAATAGCAAGTGCAGAATTCTGATCAGGTTCAGCCTTGGCTTGAAGCACAATGTATGCTGTGGTAGTCTGAGTGGGTCTCTGTGATGTCGATTGAAGCAGGATCCCCATACCTTGTCCTCCATTTGGGGTTTGATAAAAATTTGTTGCTGGAGTCAGGGTGGCAGTCTGGTATTGATTTTGAAAATAGTTTTCAGCAATATTAACCAAATGGCCGCTGCCTGGGTAACTGAGTGGAGCAAAAGCTTCTTGTGGAGGGGTAGGTTGCGGATGATATGTCTCAGTTTGCATTACTTCTATATTTCTTTTGGATTTCGGTAATGTGGCTGATAAATTGTCTGGATCATAACTCTTAATGTAATCTTTCCACATTTTGGAAATGTTTATTTCAAGGCCAGCAATTTTATCAAGTCTAATGAAGTCCTTCAGCCTGTGGGTGTGAACAATTGAATAAATGTGATTTTTTATCTGATCAATTATATCTGCAGGCAGACGTACTTCACCAGAGCGCCGATGGCTATTCTTTCCTCTATTGTCACTGGGGAACATAATACCATCATCCATCTTTTTACATAAAACTCTGACTTTCCTTTCTGAGACGGCATGTATGTTTTTAAATGCAGTCTGACATACTTGAGTCTCCCTTCCTTTGACTCTTACAAAATATTCAAATGTGCATGTTCGTCTACTGCTATTTTTTACTCTTTTCCTTTTCACATCAACCTGCCGCATTAAGCCAAATAAGTAAGCATTTTGTTCATCATGAGTTTTCATGGAATAAAAACCTTGAAATGTTCTCAGCCTGACATCTTCAGGTACCTTTTGAAAACATCTCCGGCGGCAGTTGCAGTCTGGGCCAGGCTTTTTTTGTGGAACAACTTTTCCATTTACGTTTATATATTCTAATCCAGCGATTCTCAAGCGTTTTTGTTTTTGTTTGTGCCATTCTGAAAAATGAAACCTTAGTTTTATAATGGAAATATACACAAGTTTTTTTACAAAAAGAAAGAACCCTGAATGTAAATAAACACTTTATAGTCAGAAATTTATTTAATTATCGCTACACAAGAAACTTTACATTTATATCATTTCGATTAATAGTGTTATCATAACAATGCTAATATGGTTACGAGATAATAAAAATTCTAAAAAATACGTGAGACAAAACTTTAAAATACACACGTCTTCAGTGTAAAAGCTGTAAGGTAGTAAGAGTCAAGAACTAGAGCAACGAAACGAGAACATAATCTACGATATTGCATGGTAGATGTATGGACGCGAAATAATAACTACTACAAAGTTTTAATTATGGAAGAAATGACGTCTACCTTCAGGATTTCGAACACGTTTCTTAATAACTTTTCCAGTTTTGATAACTTTTATTTTGCGCTCATTACTTGAGACATCCGCCATTTTAATATCAAGCTTGCAATGTATATGTATAACCAATCACCTTAGGTATATTGTAACATTTTCATTGCAATAATAAAACGCAATAACAAATTTTAGAATACAATCTGGATGAGTCGTACCACATAAATAATACAATATATTAAAAAATAGATCCTATTACGTGCCTCTATATACATTCATCAAAAATACAGTGGGCAAATTATAATAAACCGAATAAAAATTTATTTCAAAAATCAATTTTCATCATGATAACGCTAGACCTCACACATCTTTAGCCACTCAGCAAAAATTAAGAGAGCTAGGCTGGGAGGTGTTAATGCATCCGCCGGATAGTCCTGACCTTGCATCTTCAGATTTCCACCTGTTTCGGTCTCTTCATAATTCTTTAGGCAATGTCAGGTTAACATCACGAGAGGACTGCCAAAACCAATTATTTTTTTTATTGCTTAGATGGGTGGATGAGCTCACAGCCCACCTGTTGTTAAGTGGTTACTGGAGTCCATAGACATCCACAACGTAAATTCGCCACCCACCTTGAGTTATAAGTTCTAAGGTCTCAAGTATAGATACAACGGCTGCCTCACCCTTTCACCCTTCAACTTCAATTACTGATTCACGGCAGAAATAGACAGGGTGGTGGTACCTACCCGCGCGGACTCACAAGAGGTCCTACCACCAGTAATTACGCAAATTATAATTTTGCGGGTTTCATTTTTATTACACGGTGTTATTCCTTCGCCGTGGATGTCAATCGTGAACATTTGTTGAGTATATATTTCATTAGAAAAATTGGTACCCGCCTGAGATTCGAACACTGATGCATCGCTCAACACGAATGCACCGGACATCTTATCCGTTAGGCCACGACGACTTCAACTTCTCGGGATCCTCCAAAAAGTCCACTGAAAAAATCTCAGTAAATGGCTACCATTTTAAGAAGATTCTATTTCATCTCGTATCATCTTATCTCATTTCATTTATTTCATTCCAGTTGATCTCAAATTAATCAACTTCATTTCATTCCATATTATCATTTTTCATAAAAATAAGAATATAAATATGACTTAAAGGTCTTAGTTATCAGGACTCAGGACATCAAATCCGAAAAAAAAAAAGCATTGCAAATTCGACGTTCTTTGGTTTTCATAAGTTTGTTAATTTCTTGTTCAAGTGTGAAGGTATAAAATATTATTGTGCACGTGTGGCATTTCATAAGTATGTAACCAGTTTTATAATTTATAGTATTATAGTTCTTGGCTAGTAAAAAGCAGAGGATGTCCTGTGTGGACACAGTCACAGTATTTGTCTATCTTTCATAACATTTAATAAAAAAAGCAAATTTATAATCATAAAAAAAGTGAAGATAGAGTTTAAATTTATTTAATAAATAAAGTTCGGTCAATATAAATATTGTGCAACATTTAGTTTATGACGTATATGACTCATTTCAGAGTTTATTGGGTTGTTTTTTTCCCTAGATTAAAATGACTTTCCAATCGCCAATGCCAAGCAGAGATTTCTTATGGAACATTTTTAGAAGGTATTTTGAGGGCTTACTTATTATTAATATTTTTAAGTAAATTATGATTTTTTAAATCTAACATTTTTAACGTTCATTTGTAATGAATATTTTATTTTTAGTCCGAATATTCATTGTTTTTACAATAGTATTTAATTGAACAGTAATCATTTTATTGGATAAAAGCAATGCAGCAGTAATTTGTTTTCTTGGCATTCCAAACATCTATGTTTAAGATACCTATATATAAAAAAAAAAGGTGTTAATGAGTATAGGGAGAGTGGAATTATTGTTTAATTTTTAAGAATTATGAAACCGGTTTCAAGTCTAATTTTTATTTATTTTACCAGTTGTGTTCTATTCCTATAAAGGCATAAGCGTGTCTGTCTTAAAAAATAAAAAGCCCTCTTTCCTTTTAATTTACTGCAGTGGTACCTCGACATACTAGTTTAATTAGTTTCGTAATCTTGCTCATATCTCAAAGCAAAATATTGCTTGATTGGCAGCCCATAACTCAAAACAAGCATATATTAAAGCACTCCTATATTGAGGTACCACTGTACTTTAACTAATATCACTTATTTTAAAATTTAAATACTACTTAACTAATATTAAAAAACCAAAGCGTTTTATAATCTAAATTAATAATGAATGAGAAAATAATATGTTGGGTAGTTTTTGAAATAACATAAAGAATTTTCAGTTACACTTGTTTTTAAATAAATGCATTATGCTTTTTTTTCATGATCTACTGAAGCATTGACAGAAATCTGATTTGTTCTTTCCAGTGTTGACAAAGATAGAAGTGGTTACATATCTGCTGATGAACTGCAACAGGCTCTGTCCAATGGAACATGGAATCCATTTAATCCTGAAACTGTACGTCTGATGATTGGTAAGTATCTAACTTTCATNACACTTGTTTTTAAATAAATGCATTATGCTTTTTTTTCATGATCTACTGAAGCATTGACAGAAATCTGATTTGTTCTTTCCAGTGTTGACAAAGATAGAAGTGGTTACATATCTGCTGATGAACTGCAACAGGCTCTGTCCAATGGAACATGGAATCCATTTAATCCTGAAACTGTACGTCTGATGATTGGTAAGTATCTAACTTTCATTTTTGAGATTTTTACCTTCACTTTACCTGAAAAACCACATTTTCAAGAATATTGTTATTCAAATATTATTATGTCATTTCATGAATTTAGTAATAAAATCATTAAATTGTATTTTTTTATTAAGCATAAACCACTTACAAATTATTCATAAAACATTTTAGGTATGTTTGACAAACAAAATAGGGGTGTCATATCATTTGAAGACTTTGGTGCACTTTGGAAATATGTTTCTGATTGGCAAAATTGTTTCCGATCATTTGACCGTGATAATTCTGGGAATATAGATAGAGTGGAATTGAAGAATGCACTTACAGCCTTTGGATACAGATTGTCTGATGATGTTGTTGGTATAATGGTGCAGAAATTTGATAGATTCGGTAGAGGGACAATATTGTTTGATGATTTCATACAGTGCTGCGTCACACTTTATGTAAGTATTATTTTTGTGACATTATGTTTATTGCTATTGAAAAATGACTGTAAAATATGGTGTGTTTATGTATATGATGGTGTTAACAATTATCTGCTCATATGTGCTTCATTCAGTTAAAATTATAATTTTTTTACGGATGGTAGGACCTCTTGTGAGTCCGCACGGGTAGGTACCACCGCCCTGCCTATTTCTGCCGTGAAGCAGTAATGCGTTTCGGTTTGAAGGGTGGGACAGCCGTTGTAACTATACTGAGATCTTAGAACTTATATCTCAAGATGGATGGCGCATTTACGTTGTAGATGTCCATGGGCTCCAGTAACCGCTTAACACCAGGTGGGCTGTGAGCTCGTCCACCCATCTAAGCCATAAAAAAAAAGATTATGGATTAAGTTAACAAATATTTATTTAAATTATTTATTTATTATTTAAATATTTCCTTTTCCTTGACTCATAAAAACAAATTGTTAAGTTTTTCCTCATATTGCTTAACTACTGTTTTTTTTGTTATTTCCCACTGTTCAAAATTATTTTTATTTTTAATGGGTCGACAAGGAAGCTTGGGTTAAGCTGTTACCAAGGCCATAGGATACATAACTACAATCTTGACATAGATATTCTGCAAAGCATGCGTAAATAAAAAAATGACCATCCTATACTGTAAATTTTAACATAAAACTATTTAGAAATACTGAATAGACTTTGACCTTGTACCTAATTCATATCCATCTACTTTTGTAACATATTAATGAGGTCCATGGTTAAGAACACAATTAAATTCCACTGCCACTTAGAAATTCCACTGCCATTTAGAAATTGGAAAAAAATAGTTATTTCATTAAATACTTTTACAGTTTGATCTCGCGTTTATTATTTTCATTTCATAATTTCCGAGATTTCAAATACTTTACGATATTTATAAAACATTAGAGGCGAGAGTACAGATTAAAACGCACAGATATTTATGTTAGGCGTGCATTTTTGTTATTTTTTGTAACAAACAAAAAAGGAAAAATACAATTTGCCTATTTTTTTTTTTTAGACTCTTACATCAGCATTCCGCCAGTACGACTCGGACCAAGATGGCGTCATCACGATACATTATGAGCAATTCCTTAAAATGGTTTTTGGATTAAAGGTATAAAATGTAAAACTTATAAACATGATAACTTTAGTATTATCAGCGAATGTTAATGTTTTGATAACTGCCAGATAATATGAGCATGTTCAAATGAAAATACAAAACTTAATTTTGCTATTTTTGTGTGTAGAATTTTACTGAAATGCATGTGTAAATTTATAAAATTTAAAAATTAGATAACAGAGAACATTGATCTGGGTTGGTGTGTAATGACACTGACTTCAGATTAGTAAATATCCACTTAAATTGATAATGGATACTGGAGAAAATCTATTTTTTTGTTTTTGCTTAAAACGCATAGGTTATTTGACTAACGCCTAATCCAATTAACGCAGCTGCTTAAGGATTTGGGTCTCGGATGCTCAAACACATCCTACGTGCAAGAACATTACTCAATAGCATTATTCAAATAACCTATGGCGTTTCGTCTGTGGTATTTTTATTTAAAAATATATAAATAAGAGTTGACCTCAAGGGTTTAAATACCAGGTCATAAAATCTCAAAAAAAAATATTTAAAAGTATATGGTTACATCAATGTCAAATTAAACATTTAATGGAAAGTTTCGGATCAGTAAAACCGATTTTCAGCAAAAATAAACGCACATTTAAAAACGAACAAACTGTTTGCTTTTTGGAATATGTTTTGGTTTGCTTGCGTTGTCATTCACAATGCTCCGTTGTTTGCGTTTGATTGTTGCCATTAGAGGCGTTCAGTTGGAAATCGACGATTTCAATTATTCGTATTTAACATTAAAAAATTTTGGTCGGTCTCGATTTACCTGCAACCATTATGAGCTAAGATCCTTACTAAGTAATTATGAGAAGAATTACATTCAATAATATATCAGGCTAAGGCGAATAGGAACTACGCGCGAACCCATATTATGGAAATGATTTGCGAAAAAAAGCAGAATGTACCTCATATTTCTAATATATTATTATAGAAATATGATGGGTACAATAATTTTCCTGTTGGTATCCATCCGCATTTAATAAAAACGAAGTGGATATTGTTGTGTATAAAATATATCCTAGACTGTAACGCTTTTTAAATATTTCGTGTAAGATTGATGTCTTCCATTTAAAAAAAAAGACGTTGCACAAAAATATTTTATTTTTACACTGCACACAATAATTAAAATTCAGAAGCGGGCGTGTGTGACGTGACAGCTCTTTAAATTTCGACTTATCGTTAAGTATGTAGGCTTAGATCAATAAATGAATTTTGTTTCCCGCTATTCTTATTATAACCGTGTCGACTGTAAAAACTACTCGCCATATTAAATTTTATTAAACGGACAATATGTTTTTTTTTTCGTTTAGTGTTGGCCGTAAACGAGAGAAGATCTTTATTGACAGTTCCTCTGTCCACTATGAGGTAGTAATTAATCCTGTAGTTTTCAAATATGTTATTAAAAAGAAAGAACGGTTCACATAATGCACACACATTTTCCTCTCTGTATTTGAATTTTAGTATGGCAATAAATTGTTTGTAGTAGTAGCTTTATTATGTATCTCAATATTTTTGATAAAAATTAAAAGCATTTGCTCAACTCTTTCGAGCGCCAAATTTGTTAATACCTGACAGGTTACACTTGCTCAAAATTTATGAGCGTTGAGCCAGTCACAAAAGTGATAAGTAATTTAAACTTTAACGTTTGGTCAATTTACGAAATAGCTATTTTACAAAACTGAAAGGATCGATACTTCTGTGTAAAGATTATTAAATTTTGTAATAATAATGACTTATGTTTTATGCCTCATTTAGATAAGTACTCACCGAACACATACGAATAGGCACGAATCTGAGTTTGTAAACGGTTTATTCGGATGTATTCGGTACTCGTTCACCTCCGCACGGTGTCAACAGTTTGGCACGAATCAAAGGGTCATTGTACTGTGTGCTTAGTGCGAGCTTTTTAACGTTCTCTTTTTTCCCCTATCTATGCTAATAGCCTTGAGAGGCTATTTGAGCTTCGCCCTAATGTGTAGGTGAGCTCCCGGGGCTCAGACCGGAGTGTTCCTAACACTGGCCCTAGCAAGAGCCGTGCTTCGCAGAATCTACCACCGGATCGAAAACGCGACCCACTGAGAAGATCCAGCGAGAAACTCAGTGGGCTGTGTCTATGGGTTAAATCGCTAGTCGAGCCCTTCGTCACAAGCGACGGGTTCGATGAGGATGGTGACCGGTGCTTGTGGTACCTAAAAGAACGTTCTCGATAGTGTAAAAGTTAACTCAAATTTGTATGCAGTTGGAAGAGCGACCCTACGGGCAAATGTAAGCAAACCTTCCAACTACATACAAATTTGAGTTAACTTTTACGGTACAGAGAAAGTAAAAAACTCGCACTACGTGCACTGTATTCGTGCGCGATGTTTATCTATTCATCATTGTTCATTTGCAATGTCGCCAGCAAGATTTGTGAATATGAAATAGACTTAAAGCTGTAATAGCGAGTCGCACATCATCTGTGTTTGAAAAACCCATATTAATTGAATTTAGACGAAGTAATAAACTAGTCTTTACGTGGTCGTATTCTTGCACGAATTACGTCAAGTTAAACGTCATATTATTCGCTGATAATCTAAACGAGGCATTAGCTACATTGATAAGACTATCTTTTTTTATTAATGTAAACTTATTAAGATGACGTGCCGAGTTGTATTTTTTTTTTAAACGCGATTCTCATTTAGATGAACGTGTTTTAAGTGTCGATCGCGTTTGAAGTTGACTGTCAAAAAGACAAAACGCAGTGTACTATTCCTAAGTTACGTCATGCTGATTTGTAAAACCGTAATTAATATTCGTGTAGAATTGACGTAATTAAATAAGTTTATTTTTTAAAGTACCTATGTATGCACTGTTTTATATTTAGATCTTAAGAGACGGAATGATTATTGTAACTGAAAATCCATATTTATTGAAGTGAAAACTTCAATACTTACAATCTGTGAGATTTGAAATTAAAGAGACGTAGGTAGTAATTATAAATCTGTAGAATTTTGTTTACGGGAGAATGAGACAGACAACTTCTAGCGCGTGTGAATGGTACCCGTTATTTATTTTACAATTTATAATTCCCATACTTTCGCGTCTCGAAATCTTTCTAATGAGGAAATAGCATTGATCTTTGAGATGAAAAATCAGCCGTTTTATTTGTCAACGGTATTATATCCATTGAAAAAGGTTTTAATGGCGTTATAGCTTAATACTCAAACTGCAAATTGGTCACACTAAAATTATATGTAGGTATTGTAAAAGCTTCTTATTAACGTTTCCTTCATTCGCGTTTTCACTATTCGTGGATTAAAAAATGTAATCCAATACCTATATTCGCGGCTAAAGATTTCTTTATCCGCGGATCCAATCGGTATAGCGGTACGTACACATTGATAAAAAGGATTCCAATATGTAGGTATCCAACCGAATATCCTTTGTAAACGCGTCGCGTTAAATGGACTAATAAAAAAGTAAAATAGACCTTATTACAACTATGCCTAAAGTGTTTGTTTATTTTGTCACTTAGGAACGTATCCCTATAATTTCATATATGTATGTAAATTACCGTTCTATATTCACGGTTTCTGTATTCTCGTCATATTTACGGAAAATATACCACGCGAATAAAGAGCTTTTACTGTATGACGACATTGGATTAAGTTTTCATAGATATCTTACTAATTACCCCTTTCTTAATTATATGGTTATATCTGAACAGTCTGATTTTATTGTAGTTTAAAAATCCACCTACAAATTAATATTTGTCAATTTTCATTGTATATTCCATTTTACAGTACAAGTGCATTTATTTGTAGATGTGTCGGCATTGCATAATTTAGATAAACTAATTACATATATAGAATATTATGTGTAGTGTTCTACGTTTTTTGATGTTAAACATCATAGCAGAACAATGCATAGCTTTAGAATATTTATATGAAAATGATCTGATTTATCGTTTTTCAAAGAAGCTAACGTTATCTTGGCTTATTCAACTGTTTTGCCAACCTTATCGGCCTGTGTCCTGCTATTATGATGTGAATTGTTACATTCTAAATGTTATTCGAATTGCGTTAGGTAAACACTTTAAGATTGTTATTGAAAGTTATATTTTTCATCAAAGAACTACACAATGTATCCGTTTAATAAATATAATAAATTGATTTTTTCATTAAAGATCACTCTGTTTTTTCGCTTTTTATCTTCCAAGCTCCTATTCTATATTTAAGCCAGATAAGGCCTAGGTCAAATCCCATTTGTATCCAAGCGACAACTGGCGTGACTTTTGATCCTTCGATTTCTGTCCACCTCACTGGTATTTCGGATATTGGAATGTTTAATTTTTGTGCGATATACAATAACTCTACATCAAATGCCCTGAAAATGAATACATATTGTGTTAAATTATAGACAATATAATTACCATTCATAATAATATATTGAGGTTGAAATGTATTGAATTATTGAGGAGCTGTTTAAATACGTCTGTAAGAACATCCATATTGCTCATTGCTGATATGGTAAGTTCACACGATAGTGGTTGGTACCACCTGGCTGTTTATTACTGCTTTGAAGCAGTAATGCAGTTCGATTCGGTTCGAAGGGATAAATGAAATTGGATATGGATACATTACAATAAAATTTAAACTGCTACTTTATGTAGTGAAGGCTTCAGTAATCACTAAGCACCAGGTGGTACTTGAGTTAATTTATCTGTCTTAGCAATAAAAAAGGTCAATCGAAAATTTGCGCACAGAAATTATGTGATATGTTTTTCTACATCTTCCAATTAGTCTGGTTTACTTTAAGTAGGTACTCTCAAGTGAAGCAAATGTCTGAACTGGTTGCTACAAAGCCTTTTGGGCTTTATTTTTGTCTCACATACTATAAAAGGAAAGGTTTTAATTCAGTAAAAGCTAAACAGGAATTGAAATATTGCCTTACCATCTGTTTACATGTAAGCTTTCAAAACATATTCTTGCTGCTTTTCTAGTGAAAAGTTTGAAGCCACACTGTGTGTCTTTTATACCTTTTACAGTGAACAACCAGACCAGAAAATGAAATCCATACATAAGTATATTCCTGTAACATGTTATATTGTTTTAACATTTATAATCCCATTTGAAATATGAATGAACAGGTGATGTGTTACGACATTATAGCTTTGCATGAAAATTAACTGTGTAAGAACATGACTTCTGTACTTGTAGGCAGTACTTTTAGATATACCTAAAAATATTCCTTTTTGCTAAAGATTCCTTTTCAAGATGAGCCCTCGAACCAATTACAATTCCTAGACTTTCACTAGTTGTTTTAACATCTTTGAGGGGATCACATTTCACAATATCCTTTAGGGCGACTTCTAATTTCGTCAAATCTTCAAATTTTGAGGCACCATCTGCATCTGCAAACAATATTGTTGCACCTCTCGAACTTTGTATGCCCTGAAATTTTATAATGTTTATTTATCAGAGGTTTAAAAAAACTATTTATATTTAAAATTATTGTAGAAATGAAACACTACCAGTCTGACTGCTCCTCCTTTTCCTCTGTTCTTTATTAACTCTAGGCATTTCACTTTGTCACTACCATATTTTATAGAGTAGCTCTCGGCTACTTTTACTGTGCTGTCTTTACTTCCATCACTCACTATGATTATTTCATATTTGTATGAAGGGTTTTCTTTTTGTCGGTTCTCCAAGAACTCAATTGTTTCATCCAACATGGGTGGCACTGAGGAATATCAATCATCAGTGAACAAACTGTTAAGAATGATCAAAAATACTCAGACTGAACTGTAATTTTAATCAGGTGATAGTCAATTGTCAATCTAAGTAGAAGATTTAAGTAGAAGATTTGAGTAAGACTAAGTAGAAGTAGAAGACTAGCATTTGATGGAAGTAACAAATGTTGATAATGTGTCAATTGTGAATACAAATGATATTAAATGCCGTAGATTTAAGAAAGTTAATTCCAGATAATTTTTAGTTTCTTTAATGTACACATTCCAGTTGGTATTTAGTTGGCACTGGAGCCTATCGTTATCAGAAACCAAACTAGACACTTTGAGACGTCGGTTTGGAAACTGATTGACTTGCAAATGGACTGTTGAAACAGTTTCACATAAGGATCTTAACTGAGGACTTAAACTTTGACAAAAAAGTACTTGTAACTGCTCTCAAATCATTAAGTAAAATCTTCACTGTATCACAGAAAGACTTAAAATCATTTTTATATATTTTTGGAAGCTCATTTTACTTATTCTCTATTTGAATTTCTTATAACTTTAATATGATAAATTTTTGAAAACTTAGAAGAATTAATAGATCAATACACATTATATGCACTGAGAAAAAAAAAAAAACAATAAAAATAGAAAAATTAACTAAGAGCAGTAGAACAAAAATCAATTTTCTGCCTGCCTTATCTGATCATATAAATCTTCAGAAGTAAAAAACTAATTTTCATGTGGTGTTCAAAGGTAGACCAGTTATTTTCCAGATACTTTCTTTCAGATAATTATATGCCAGAAACTTTCTTTCTTTAAATCAGATTTTGCAAAAAAGTAGTGATCATCTAAATATTTTTGGAATTTACTTTTATTCCATTGGATTTTCAAAGTTACTTAGCAAATAATCTTATTATAATAAAAGTAACTGTCTGTCTGTTGTTTCCATGCCCAAAGTAGTGAAATAATTTTGATGAAATTTATAATGAAATGGCTTACACCCTGAGAAGAATATATGCTACCTTTCATCTTACTGATGAGCTCAGGAACTGTATGAACCAGGAAATGAAGTACAAGCAAAACTGCAGGCCAAAAGATAGTTCCACATAAAGTTACTTACGTCTTTTTTCTTCATTATATGCAGGAACAACTACACTTAAGCTAACAGATTCTTCTTCAAGTATAGAGGGGAATCTCAGTTTAGTATTTGTTAAGTAATCATTGTATGTTTCTTCATCTTTATACCGCTCCACAACAGGATACGTATCAGTTATTATATATAGTATTATAACGAGCTAAAAAAATATCGACAAATTAATATTGTGATATTTTTACAGGTTGAAATTAAAGTAATTTAACAGTTTTAAGATTATTAAAGATTAAGTCAACAAACTTACCACAATTAATAGAGCCAACGCTATAGCAATACCATATAAAACCATTACCAGAAATATTGTTAAGAGATCCATCTTACAATATAATTTAGTTTAGTTAAATTTGTTTTAAACCTTCATTTCTTTTGTTTTAATAAATAAATGAAGAATTAATTATCCTTCTTTAACCAATTATTTTTGGTATCTACGATCAGAAATGCTAGTTACGGTACATACATACGTGTAAGTATTTGATTCAACTTGGTTTATGTGTATTATCTATGAACTTGGTTTTCAAATATTTTATTCACGAGGTAAGCAGTCAAAAGACTGACAAACTTGACAGATTTTTGCTTGTCACATTTGATTAGTAGTTTTCCAACGGGAAGGCGACGATATTACATCATACAGCCATAAATATATATTTTCTGAAATATGAAAATTAATGTGGATAAAATGAGGTGAAGTCTGGTGAAGTTGTTTTTTTTGAGATTGTAATCAATTGTGATAAAATTATATGAAACGAGATGAGATAGATAGATGAAATATAGTTTCAGTAAAATGATAACTCTTTATAGAAACTTTAGTGGAGTTTTTAGCAGAATCCGAGAAGCCATGTCCAGCGACTGTTTCATTTTTCCACGTTTATGCATTGTCACAGATGCTAAACAGTAAAAAAAACACCGTTATTACACGTTTAAGTATGAAAAGATACTCGTCTAATCGACCGCTCATTGCTGAGCATCGTGATGCGCCTGCCTGAGACCGTTTCCTGTGATCTGTAGTCACTTATGTCGGTCAGAGACACTGTGACACAGAAAAGTGCGACGCTTTTAACTCTCAGACACAGCCCACTGAGTTTCTCGCCGGATCTTCTCAGTGGGTCGCGTTTCCGATCCGGTGGTCGATTCTGCGAAGCACGGCTCTTGCTAGGGTTCGTGTTAGCATCGTCGTCAGATTTGAGCCCCGTGAGCTCACCTACTAGTTACGGTTACGCTGGAATAGCCTCTCTAGGCTACCAGCTTAGGTAGGAAAAAAAAAAGTGCGATGCTCAGTCTCGTGTAAACATGCTCGAACGCTTGATCAATGATTACTTAGTCTTTATCTTTTTTGAGTGTAACCCCCTGGATTTCCATCCACTGTTCCCAACTTCGCTCCTCGTATTCCCAGCAAAAAGTCCATTGTTTTTGAAAACAAAGGGAGCATTTTTTTTATTCATCACCTCTTTTTTGGTAGCAGTAGGTAAGGGGCTATTCCAATTACGCCCAGCTTGTTAAGAGACCCCCGTGTGGGCTCAACTTGGGAGGATCTTTTAGCACTAGGCCTACCAAGAGCAGTGCTTCGCTAAATCTTCCACATTTCAGATCGGAATCGCGACCAGCTGAGAAGTACCGGCGAGAAACTCAGTGGAGCGTGTCTATGGGTTAGTTTGGACGTCGAACTATTGACCGAGACCAGAACGGCGACCGGTGCTTGGAGACCATAGAAGCACCGAGCGGATTCGGTGGATCCGAAAAGATATAATTTGGCTAAGGCGGGCGCTAAGGCGGATTTGTGTTGTCCCGTCGCCTGGGAGAGTTTTCGTGTTTATTGTATGTACTGATTGAACGTACCCATTACTGTTGTGCATTATACTGTGCACTTCTAGCTTCCAGTAGTCACCAGTTTCTGAAGACGATGTTGGGGAAAAGATCACGTCGAGGTCACTAATTTCGGGAATATTATACGATGGAATGTACTATATTATGGCTTTCTATGGACCGTCAGAATAACACCCCAATGCACCAGGCGTCTTATCCGGGCGGCCACGACGACTTCAAAACTAGAGGTATCCTTTTTTTTTTTTTTTTTTTCCTACCTAAGCTGATATATATACATATACCTAGCGGCTATGTCAGCGTAACCCTAACTTTAGTAGGTGAGCTCACGGGGCTCAAACCTGGTGACGTTGCTAACACGAACCCTAGCAAGAGCCGTGCTTCGCAGAATCTACCACCGGATCGGAAACGCGACCCACTGAGAAGATCCGGTGAGAAACTCAGTGGGCTGTGTCTGAGAGTTAATTTACTCGTCGAGCCCTTCGTCGCAAGCGACGGGTTCGACTAGAACGGTGACCGGTGCTTGAAGTACCTAAAAGCACCGTTAGTGGATCGGGAGGATCCGAGATGACGTGTTTTGGGCGACGTCGACTGCTTTCCATTCTGTCCGCAGGATCGGGAATGTAGTTACCGGCGGCCACGATGAGAGGGTTCTCGTGTCGTGCCGCTTTATCGAAGTGGAGAGGTATCCATTTAGTAAGTGTGTACCGTTGTATAAAAATATTGGGTTGACTTTAGTACTTATTTATGTCATAATTTTTATTTTTGTCTTTTCGACAGTTTGTCTGTTTCCGCACATCTCAGGATTTGCTGAAAGGATTTTCGTGTAGTTCTCACGGATAAACAAAAACTAATTTGGAGTAGAATACTTAGTTTGTTTTATTAAAATCGGATGCTGCAAAAAATATCGTCAGTAAAGCTTTTCGGAATTCACTTTAGTACTAATCTATTTTAGAAATGGAATAGTGATTTATATTAGCAATATAATTCTCTGCACGTTATGTTTTCTCGTCCAAGCCACTGAACCGATTTTAATGAAATTCGGTATGGATATAGCTTGAGCCCTGAAAAAACACATTTCATCGTACCACTAAACACGTCTCAGTTCTGCAAGGGATTTCTATATAGTGTCATACACGCGGCGACTCTGACTGGACAGCTAATATATAGATATAAATAAAATTGCAGTGCATGTTTGTAATATTGAAATAACCACTTTTTACTATATGCATATAAATATATATACGGTACATTTTCTAAGGACTTGAATACTTATAATACTTTATTCTTCCCTAGGACTTCTTGCTAGGCTTCTATTTTAGTAGGTATACTGTAGGTTTACAAGGATGATCCTTTTTCATGGCGCTACTATTCCAAGCAGTATCTCTGCTACCTTATATTATATTAGGATTTGCAGGGTCACGCTTCGACCGATGTTCAGTGTTAGAGCAATTATCAGGGTCAGCTAATTTGGTATCAAAATTCTAAAAGTTTCCCTGGAAGAAGATTTGTGCTTTGCAATGCATAAGTCTTCGTGCTTCCATCTCCGGGCCGGGGCTCCCAAATGCCAGCTTCTTCAGTCCCAAATACCATTCAGTTTTCGAATGAACTTCTCTCCACGATGTTTCTTGCGCACTCTGACTTGTCTTTCTTGAAACGAGGTTATCTATGAGCGATGGTAACTACTCGCCTTGAGGGGCTCGATTTGCACGTCTGTCTTTTTTTATTTATTTTTTGTTGTTTAGATGGGTGGACGAGCTCACAGCTCACCTGGTGTTAAGTGGTTACTGGAGCCCATAGACATCTACAACGTAAATGCGCCACCCACCTTGAGATAAGTTCTAAGGTCTCAGTATAGTTACAACGGCTGCCCCACCCTTCAAACCGAAACGCATTACTGCTTCACGGCAGGAATAGGCAGGGTGGTGGTACCTACCCGCGCGACACCTATCCTACCTATTAAGGCACCAAAAAGAAAGAAGCAAAGAAGACCTGGCTCTTAAATAAAATACTTGAGGAACAAGATGGCCATGGACAACTTGTAGGTGGAAATTACGAACTGTAATAATTACCATTTACTACAAGACCTCGAGATAAGTACTTGCCATGGTATACGACTGCTATTCTACTCTTCAGCGAAATGCATTATTATTAATCACAAAAATATACATAGGATGGTGATACCAAGTACCAAAAGAATGTTCCGATGCACTGCGGTAATCAGTTTAAACACAGGCAACTTAATTGTCCACCTAAAGCAATAAAAATAGTGTGAGCTTATAAAGAAATCATGTTTTTAGTTTTCGGATAAATGTTTTTTGGCAATAATCAAAATTAATTAATCACCTACCATTATTATCTTCATTCAGCATATAGGTACTTTACTGCAATGGAAAATGTGCAACGCAGACTGTGTCTTGAATTTAGTCGTATAATAGACTATGCATCCTTTAGCAATGCATTTGAGATTTGAGTTTTATGTCTCAAGCTACGGCACTACGTAACCGTATCCCGATTGTCTATTGACTCCGTCAACGGCTTATTGTCGCGTTAGTTAACCATTGAGTCTGAACTAGTATTAGTAAAACATCATAGAGGGTATAATAAAAGCAGAATTAAAATGAAAAACCAAATGCTTGTCAAAAATGTATTACAAAAAACAACACATTACAAATACGTTGATGTATACAAATCCAAACAATATTCTAAATAAATAACGTTACCAATATTTGTCGACAAACAGTAGTAGTGCTTATTACGATACTAAGTAGATACATTTGATTATTTTCCTTAAACACACAGAGCTTTTTTTTAAATGAAGAGTTTTTCACTATTTAGTACCTCAGTAATTAAATAGTGTTGGAATTATGTTATTATAAAATAATTATACATTACAAAAAAATTATTACAAATATCTGAAAGAATTAAATGTGTTGAAATTTGTCATAAGCGAATTAATAATTATTTTTGTAAAGCCCATTAATGCACGGCAGCTATGAATTCTTAAGAAACATTCTAACAATAAACATTGGCTCATAAATTCAAATTTATTTTCCGTAATTATGATGGTTTATAACATGCTTAAATATTATATTTTAAACTGTGTACTAATTAAATAACTAATTAACAAAATCAATAATTTAAAAACTAATTTAAAACAAGAACAAGTAAAAGAAAAAATATTGTTTGCCACCACTCATTTTGGGAGAGGATGTCGAAGTCTTACCGTATACCACAATGGCGTGATTGGTTCGCGGTAAAAATAGGCTGGGTGGTGGTACCTACGAGTAAATGCTTAGTGATTGCTACTGCTTTAAAAATGCTCGTATAAATCTTAGATAGCGTAAGTTTTCCTTTTTCGATAAAGCCTTTAATCTCTTTTTACGATACGCACGGGAAGAAATTGGCTTGGGCATTTAAAGTCAGCTAAAAGCCGAATAAGTGTTCTTTATGTGCATATTTATTTCACATATGTCATCTAAATATATATACATAGATTATGTTCGTATTATAATATTATCTTTATTGTTCTAACTTATTGCGCGGATTTCTTTAAACATTTTTCTCATTTTTTAGGAGCATAGATCCCTGAATTATATACTAATTGAACGTTAATAATTTCCCAAAAGACTTCGTAATAAATTATAATTGAACAATAATTTACTTTTTGTACTTGAAAATAACAACGCTTAAATATGTTCTCTGATTATACTTCAATTTTATGATAAGTAGCCAATGGGTCACTTAAAAGAAACCTTGGGCTGCCGTTAGACGGCCTCGATGCCAGCGAAGAGAGCGACCCAACCGGTGCCGCCATTATTAACAGTCGAATACATTACGACTTTAACATAATTGTCTTGACTAGTGAAATCGGCTGGTGTTTCAGAACAATACGACGATAATATAGTACCTTTACTATCAACCAATTGGATATAATTTTCATCACAGTTAATCCCCATATCGAATGTTTCAAATCTTAGTACCAGCTGTGTACCCGGAGGTGTCTCAAGTTCCCATTCACATGTGGATCGGCGCCTATAGATTTCCGGATAAAGGGGACTTGTTATTTTGCCGATTTCATTACTCAGCTTACCGCCACAACCCCTACCTTTATCTGTTGCCACGTAATTTAGATCGAAAGTGATTCTGTCGTAAATTGCATGCGTCTCATCAGATTGATGATTGTGTAATAAAACATAATTGCCCGATGAAAACACGGAAGCGTCAGTGTAAATTGTATTTATAGTTAATATTTTTGGTGAGCTCGTGTTATTGCCGTCGTATATACTAAGAAAACTGTTTTCGTCCCAATAATTTGGTATAACATTAATAAAGTATAGTGATATTGTATGATTTTCCGGTGCGGTTATGAGTGTATAGCAATCATGAATGTTCTCATATTGGGCATCGTGATCTGTTTTTATCCTGCCCTGTATCCCGGTGTAGTTTCGGCTGCAGTANATTTTTGGTGAGCTCGTGTTATTGCCGTCGTATATACTAAGAAAACTGTTTTCGTCCCAATAATTTGGTATAACATTAATAAAGTATAGTGATATTGTATGATTTTCCGGTGCGGTTATGAGTGTATAGCAATCATGAATGTTCTCATATTGGGCATCGTGATCTGTTTTTATCCTGCCCTGTATCCCGGTGTAGTTTCGGCTGCAGTAGCTTGCATATGAGAAATCTATTTTTACTCCTCTATGAATTAATGAATCGGACACCGGAGATGTTATTAAATTTATTGATACGCTTCCGGTGACGTAGATGTCATATGTTTTCTGATGACCGCACAATTCAAACTTTGTAGGAACGGTAAGGTCATACAAAGATGAACGTGAAAAGAAATCGGTCGTTTCAGTGTGTAGTATGAAATCTTTTCCAAGTGTAGCGTTACTGTTGCTATTATAGTACGTAATCAATAATTTGTCTCCGGTACAGCGTTTTGATTGAACATTAACAGGTTGTAAGTCGGTAGTGATAGACAAACGTATTGTTGTATAAGGGTTATCGCCGGCATCTAGGATGTACATACAATGTGTTCCACGTGGAATGGAACCTATATCATAACCAGGAGATTTTATCTCCGTCCTAGTTTCTTTAACAACGTAATGTGATTGACCACAAATAGTTGGTAGCACAGTCAGTTTGGCTTCAAAGCCCGAGCTGGCTATTTCTCCGTCGGTGATGAGTTTGATGCTCATTTGGTTTCCTGATGATATTACCGGACTTGGAATAACATGTCCACAATATGTTCCTATTATTAGACTGTTTGGATAAATTCCATCTTTAATTTCGACATAATCACAGTCGCACTTACTGTAGCCCAATGCAGTTTGATTGACGTCGCCGCACGGAGAAATGTGAAATGACAAAAATTCTATTTTTATATAAGTACCATCTAATGATTGTATGGCCCAATCACAATCCAAGTAGTTTTCATATACTACCCTGTTTTTTAATAAGGGAGATTTGACAGTTCGAGCCTTACCATCACTCAAATCTATCTTTCCACCACATCCAACAGTTTCTGATAAACCAAAATAAACTTCAGCTTTGAATCCTGTCAACTCCATACTACTGTCGGAAATGAACTGTACAAGCATTGTATTTCCTGTACTTTTCACGGTTGTAGTTTTGTTTATGAGTCCGCAAAACAAAGCTATGCGTTTATCTTCATCATCTGTAAGACCATTATACACAGAAATGTAGTCGTTTTGACAAGTATAGTGGTCCTCTAAATCGATGTATATAAATTTAATTATCACAATTTCATCTTTTGGGGCATTAATAATCCAAGTACAATTCATATTTTCGTGATATTTTTCAGTTCTGGTAGATTTGATCATAGTAGTGGAGTTGATATGGCCGCCACAATCGAAGGTTTTGAAGGCGATTTTGAAACCTTTTTGTGTTAAAAACTCATCGGATTTCAGTTCTAGATTAATTTTGTCGCCGATCATCATCGGAGGTTTCTGTTTTCCACAGTATACTTCTGAGAAATAGTCGTAAGTTTCAGCATAAGATACAGTTAAGTTGTCATAAGAGCAATCAGGGTAGCTACCTTCCAATTCAAATTCGACAAACTTTATTTCCGTTTTTTTATCTGGCGCTGAAATTTCATATGTGCAGTTTAAAAGATTTGGATATTCATCTGGATAGTTAGGACTGTACAAAAACTGTTCTTTTTCTGTGGCTATAAAATTGCCGCCACATATTGGATCCCAACGCGCTTTGAATCCATCGAGATTAATATCTGAATCTGTTCGAAAAACAACCTTCATTTTGTAGTTGGTCGAATTATATGACAGAGGGACATTACGACCACAAAGTTTTGCTATCTCCTGGTACTCATTATCTTTCCAATCATAAATAATAACAGCGTCTTTGGTGCAGTTTGGTGTTTCTTCAATTGTAAATCGGTCAATAAACTTTAAATTAACCCGATTTCCTACGTTAGCTTTGATCTCCCATACACATTCTAGATTAGCGTCATGATTTTTCGGATAGTTCGGGGACGCAAAAACTTTTTCGTAATCAAACAAAACACCACCGCATTGATTAGTAACGGTTTTAGCAATTAATCGTATATTTGTATTACTTTTTACTTTTGAATGGTACTGTACATAAACATTATTCAAATTCGATAAAATTGGTATCGTCAATGCATTACTTTTACAAAAATCACCAATCACTTGTGAGTTTTGGGAAAGATCTCGAGAAACTTTTATATATTCATCATCACACTCCAAGTTAAACGTACCTTCTAGATTTATCTGGATTCTGTTGTTAGCATTAATTGACAGTTGCCATGCACAATCTATCGTACTACCATAAGACCCAGGTACATCAATAATATTAGTTGGATTTTCAGTCACATGAACTATACCGCCGCATGGTTGTAATTCCCAGGATACCGTAAAATCTAATGATTTCATGTTTCCTTTGAATGCTTTCAAATCGAAAGAAGGTAGAGGTATTTTTAAGGATGTTATGGTATTACCACAAATTGATTTACTAAAGCTCGCAGACTTGGATGCAATCATTAGCTTAGGATCGAAATATCTACAATGTGTTCTAGACACAGACGAAGTCATGTTGATTTTTATAAGGGTCGTCGAATATTTATAAGTTTCATTTAGAATTACTCCTGCGGAGTTGTAATGCCATTCACAAGCATAAGATCTGTTTATATCGGGAGAGGTTATGCTGCCTTTTAATCCTTGAAGTTCATCACCACATAAAGAAGGTTCATCAGAACTAAACTTAGCTTTAAACCGATACTGAGTTTTCGTAGATTTTAACCATATATAAAAAGATAATTGATTGCCGGATGATTCGAAAATTTGGCTTGCAGTGTTATTTTCTTCTCCTGAGAGTATGCTTATTAAAGACTGAAATTTGTTATCGTTATACATGCTTATTATTAATTTCTGCGTGTCAGCATCTATGATTTCTAGTCGTATTCGACGATTTTTTTGAACTTCGATTTTCCACTGACAATATTTTAAAGAAGTTTCCATGGGGTACCTAGGTGTCGTTAAAAAGCCTTCAGGTATCGTAATTGTGCCACCACACGTTGGTTGTGAAGTATTAAAAGTAAATTTGAAACCTCTATGCTCTGAAATTTGTATCCATTGACTAGGTTTCCCGATATGTAGTCTAATGACTATTTTGTTTGAGGTAGATTCTATTGGAGACAAATTGTGTTGAACAGCATCATTGCAGAATTTTTGTAATATAACAATTGTGTTATTAGCAACGATTGTTTCCTCGACTGTTATGTAAGTAGCACACGGAGCTTCGGATTCTGGTAGTTGTATGTCTTGAGGATTTAAATGTAAAATTCTCGTAGGCGTTCCTATTATTTCCCACTTGCATTCAGTGCCGTAAGGTAAAATTTGCAAGTGAGGATATCCTGGAGATAAAATCTCTCCTGACGATGCTATTATCGTGCCACCACAAACATCAATAGATATGTTGGCTTTGAATCCATTCCTTGGTTCTGCAAGCTGTGTAAAATATTGAACAAACACTGTATTGCTTTTTGTTTTCACAGTTGCAGGTTTATCTTGACAAAATCTGCCTAGGGAAGGAGCCAATGCTGAACTACCATCATATATTTCTACCGATTCCGTTTCGCAGTTATTTACGTTGTCCAAATCAAACCTTTCTATAAAATCAACTCTCAAAATTTCACCAGCAGGCCCAGTTATAGTCCAACCACACTCTGTATATGGTTGAGGAACTGCTGGGTAGTTCGGGGAATTTATGATTTCCCATGCTTGATCTTGATCCAATTTCGAAGTAAATCCGCACTCTATACTATGTTCTTCGTAATGAATAATAAAATTTTCAAATTTGGATGAAAGTCTGCTCCAAGAGTTCTTGGTCACGTAACTGACATATAACGTATTACTTGAAGTAACTAAATTTTCCTTGATTTCGTGTTCAAGCCCACAGTATTTTCCACTTCCTAACATAGGAGCATAAATTGAATCGCCGTTATGTAAAATCACCGAAGTTGAACAGTCATTACTTGTTATATTAAAATGTTCAAATAAAACTTTTATGACTCTACCCGGTCGTACTTTTACAGTCCAATCACACCTATAATTTGGATATTCAATGTTTATAATATCAGCTAAAACTGGTCCAAAGGTTCCAGAAAGGTCAGTTATTAGTCCACCGCATACTGAAGCCACTTTACCTAAAAATCCTTTTTTGTTTACGGTACGATCACTAACGAAAACAACTTTTAAATAATCTGTGGCGTTTATATCACCTTTCATTGAATCAGATAAGCACTGCCCCTCTTTAATTGGTTTCCAGTCATTGATTTTATCCGCTGAAAATATAGAAACGTAGTCGGCAAAACATTTGCTTGTTTCTTCTAAGTTAAAATCTATAAAAGAGATCTTAAGATGATTTCCTAAAGTACCTTTGAATTCCCATTTACAGTTTAGATCAATGTCATACGGATTTGGATAATTTGGCGATTTAATTATCTTAATCTCACCAGGTAACAATGTTTGCGTTTCGTTAGATCCGCAATTAATGATTTCATTTTCATCTTCATTGATCATTATTTTATCGGAACTTGTCCACGTTAAACTAAATAGTGATCCTGTGTTAGATCCGTCCAGGGAAAATTTAATGAAAATGGCATTTGAGGATGTTTCAAATGTGTCCGATTCAAGGGTTACTCCACAAAGTTCTGTTAAAAGGCGTCCCGAACTATCATATCCATCGTAAATACTTAGCTTGTTAAAACAAATATCACCATACGTTGGAATGTTCAAGGTGTCAAATTTTATTGAAATAGTTTTACGTGCGGTTGTGATTATTCGCCAAGTGAAATCACCAGAATCGTGGTAAAGATTTGGATACAGCGGTGACGTAATTCTTCCATGATCACCTGTGATTTCATTATTATGCAGTAATCCATAATGAATAAGGAAACCATTAGTTTTCACAGTACTTTGCATTTTACTGTGAAATTTGATGTACAATTTATTTCCAATTGTAACATTTGATGGAATATCATTGCCACAGTATACATCAAGTAATTGTCCGCTACCAGAATTTTCACGTAATTCTAAATAATCCTCATTACATGCTTCAGAAAATTCTAAATTAAAACTTTCGAATGTGATGTATATCTGATTACCAGGCGATGCTTTTATTATCCATTCACAATCAACGCCTGATGGGTAAGGGCGGGGATAGTTCGGTGATGCTAGTGCTCCCTCTTCGGAAGTGTACGTTCCTCCACATGCATTAGATAACGTCGAATAGTGTGCAGAAAATTCCCCTTCAATTTTATTACTGTACGTCCCCAGTTCCATGGTGATAGCGCTTCCATGACTTACTATTAGTGGAGGTATTTTTCGTCCGCAGTATTCTCCTATCTCCGGCGCATTAGTGTCATCCCCATCGTATAGACGAAGGTATGTCGAAGAGCAGGTTCTATTAATAAAATTACTAAAATCGGTTGGTAGTGCTATATGAGTTAATGATAACGATATTTTTTTATCTAAATCTGATGCTTTAATTGTCCAGCTGCAGCTATTCGAATACGGGTGTTTATCGCTTGAAATAGTTCCGTCGGTGATGGCGGTAATAGAGCTTCCGCAAACAGTATTAAAATTGCCTTTAAATCCTTTAGCTGTTCCTACGTTATCAGTAACAAATTTAACGTAAATCGTGTTTGAATCACTGACAAAAGATTTTGTATCGGACCGAGAACAGATATGATATTTGTATGTTTTTGTAAGCATATTAAACATATTATCGTATACTTCGATTCGGTCGTTACAATCATGGCCAGGAGCAACGTTTTCGGAGTATAAATCTACGTCTGTAAAATTCAATGCAATTCGATGATCCTTGGCTACTTCAATCTTCCATAAACAATCTAAATTGTTATCGTAATTCTTGGGGTAGTTTTTAGAATAAATAAATCCTGAAGTAGATTTTATTGAGCCACCGCACGTCGATGCTATAGAACGATATTTGGATTTAAAATAAACATCTTTGAGAGATGAGAGCTTGCTTAATCTTACAAACATAACGTTGGCTGTAGATTGCACGGACGTTGGTTTTCGACTGCATATTTTGGTTAATAGTGGCGATGTAGTATCTTCACCGTTATACACTTCTATAGCATCTTCTGTACAATCTTTAGTCTCCGATAAGTAAATGTCGCTAAAGTTTAAAATTAATGATTTCCCGATGGAAGTTCTTATAGTCCATTCACATTCCAATTCTTTACTCGACATGAAACGTTTTTCCAGTTCTAAAATTCCGTTTGATGCACGAACAACACCACCGCATCCAAATCTAACCCATTCGAGACGGAAGCCGGTTCGCGGAACGTATCCAGAAAAAAATTTAATTTGTAGCGAGTTCTCTTTAGTAGTTATCATTGAAGGTATTTTATTTCCACAGATTTTATCGGAGAAAGTTGAATCAGCTGAGTCCTTAATTTGTATGTAATCATGCTGACAAGTTTGGTATCTGTAGAACGTATTTAAACGTGAAAAAGGATAACCTCGGTAGGGTTTATATAGATTGAAATCCGTGAAAGTAACATTTATCCGATTTCCTTTCGATACGGTTATATTCCACAGACAATTAGAATTAGCTGGATAGAAACCGGGAAAATTTGGCGTTTCTATAACTCCGTAATTTCCAGTGATATTATTATGACAGGCGGCTTCATAATTCAATAAAAATCCTTTACCACTTAGGTAAAAGTCAGAACGAAACTTTAAATATGCACTATTGGAAGAAGTTGCGATGTTTACTAATTCAGGGGACATTGTACAAAATCGTCCTAACTTATTAGCGCTAGAATCAAGACCGTCGTATATTTCAATGTAATCGTCTTCACACTCGTGAGTCCGTTCGAGATCTAGCTCTACAAACGAAATATGAATTCTTGAACCTGGGCTAGCAACAATTTTATAAAAGCACTCTTGGAAGTCGTGGTAATTGTTAGGATAGTTTGGAGAAGCTATAGATCCTTTAGAACTAGTAACAGTGCCACCACATCCAATGACGGTTCCATCCCATTCTAATTTGAATCCTTTACCAGAAAGATAAAAATCAGAATGGAAACGAATATATAAAGCGTTCGCCATGGACAGAATTATTCTTTTCTCAAAGTTGCCGCATAATTGATCTATGATTGGTGAATTTTCTGTAACTCCATTCCTCAGTTCTAAATAATCTCCGAGAGTACACTTGTGAGCTATGGGTCTCTCTAAATCAAAGTGAGAAATGTTTAATCTAATCTGTTGGCCTACTGGAACTTCGATTATCCAAATACAATCGCGATTAGGTTCGTATGATTTAGGCCAACCAGGTGAATAAATGACTCCATGAGTGTTTATGTAATTACCTCCACAATGTGATTTTTCATCTAAAAATGTATAAGAGAGTGAGAAACCTGCAGATCTTACTGAACTATCCGATTCAAATTCAATTAACAACTTGTTAGTTGAAGTAGTTATAGCTGGCGGTGCGTTTGGACCACAGAATTTTCCAAGTTCCGTTTTTGTTTCGTTATCATCGATTTCGGTGAGCTTTAAGTAATCGCTTCTGCATTTACTCACATGTTCTATGCTGAAGCGATTCCATGTTAATTTTATGTGCATTGTTTGCGGTGCTATTAGTATCCAACTACAAACCTGGTTATTTTTGTAATTTCCTTTACTTTCTGAAGGATAATTAATCAATCCCGTTGTTGATGTGTAAACACCACCACATTCGGTATTAATTGTCGTAAAGTTTGCATAAAACCCTGTTCCGGAAATACTAAGATCTGAAGTAAATTTTAAGTACATGTAGTTGTGGGTCGATATTTGAACCGGTGGAATATGATCGGAACCACCACAATATTTTCCTAGAAGGCTCGAATTGATATTTGGTCCATCTCTTATTTCTAAATTATCATACTGACAGTTGTAATAATGATTGTCTTCGATATCGAAATCCTGAAAACTTAGTTGAATGACTTTACCAGGCGATGTACTTATAACATACTCACATAGTCTATTACTAGGGTAACTAAATGGATAGCCAGGAGATTTAATAATACCACTATCCCCTGTTATTGTAAAGTGACAGATGGCTTCGTAAGTTATTCTAAAACCACTGGCTCCTAAACTTCTGTCACTTTTGAATTTAAAGAAGAGAGAATTAGTGGACGAGGTGAATGTTTTTGGAAACAAAGTTCCACAAAACCTTCCTACAAGGCGCGAATCTGAAGTAGAGCCATCGTAGATTTTAAGGTAGTCAAATTTGCATCTCAGTGAATTTTCTAAATGAAAGTTTTTAAATTCAATTCGTATTTTGGTGTCAGGACTTGTTTGTATTTTGTATTCACATAGTAAATTATTTAGATAACTTCCATCAAGAGAGGGAGACACAATTTCACCCTTATCACGAGTGTGATAGCCACCACATCCAGGTATACCCTCAACGGGCATATATGCTATTTGGAATCCATACCCATTATTGTATGAGTCAGAATGAAAATGTATTAAAATATCTGAACTAGCGGAAATTATTGGTTCAGGCTGAGTAGTATTGCAGTATTTTTTAATTAGAGGATCACTAGAATGCTCTCCGTCGTATATTGCTAAATAATCAAAGCTACAATTTGCGTGGTTTTCTATATCGAGAGTAAAAAACATTAATTGTATTCTTTTACCTAACGTAGTCGATAAGTGCCAGTAGCAGTCGCGGTTAGGGGGATATTTTCCTGGTGAACCAGGAGAACTTATTTGTCCATGTTTCGTAACGTCTACATCGCCTCCACAAATCGGTTTCACACTAATCCAATGAAGTGTAAATCCATTTTTGGCTACAGTAGCGTCAGACGAAAACCATAAATATAAATTGTTATGGCTTGATATTATATTACCGCCCTTAGGGAATTCGTTACCACAAAATCTACCTAAAAGTTGACTGGCAGAGCTTCGTCCGTCGTGTATTTGCAGAAAGTCATACAAACAATCAGGATGAGATTCTAAATAAAATTTGGTAAATGTTACGTTAATTACTTTATCCGGATTTGTATGAATTACCCACGCACATCGTGCGTTATTGTTGTATGTTGTGTTTGCAACAGGATATGAAATAGTACCTTCGTTATTATCAAGTACCCCGCCGCATCGTTTGGACACTAGTTGACAAATTGGTCCGGAATACTGTGCTGTGCATTCACACCTAAAGCCTCTGGGATTTTGGTCGTCTAGTCTACATACCCCTCCGTTGAGACATGGATTGTTTGCGCATAAGTTACTTGGCACTTCACAATGAGCTCCACTGAAACCTTTACGACAAACGCAAGTGTATCCTGTACGTAACGTGTGGCATCGCCCATTGAGTCCACAGGGTCTACTTGCGCAGCTTTGATTTCCTCCATTCGAGATAAAACAGCCATTGAGACCGTAACCATCACCTTCCATTCCTTCGGGGCATATGCACTGCGCGCCCGCACCGCCCATTCTTCCATTGTCGATGCACTGTGCAGAAGGATGGCAGCCTCCGTGGTCGAGGTTGCAAGATCCTTTCCAAGAACATGAAACACCGTCGCCTTGGAAGCCAAGCGGACAAGGGCCGCATATTCGCGATCCGATTGTGTTGTGGCATGCTGCGACTGGACTGCAGCCTCCGTTTGGTATAGTACTACATTCGTCGATATCAGAACAACTGTAACCATCTCCCTGATAGCCAGGTGGACATTGTCCACAGCGAAATGAGCCTGGTAAGTTAATACATTCTACTTTTGGATTCACTGAACATCTGGGACCCTGACTTGCTTCACATTCATTTACATCCGTAAGACAAGAAAAATCGGTTCCATTTGTAGTCCAGCCTTGGTCACAAATACATTTAACGCCTTGACCCGTTGTAACTGGAACACACGTACCGTGACCACACATTTCGAAGTCTCCTCCAGAACAATCTTTAGCTTTTCTAGTGCAATGTAAGCCATACCAGCCAGATTTACAAAGACATTCATATGAACCTGGTCTGTTAATACAAGTTGCGCCATTCTGACAACCAAGGTCTGTACCAGCAAAGTTATGACATTCGTTGACGTCAATATCACAATTTTGTCCTTCCCAGTTTGATGGGCAAAGGCAGTGATAGCCATCTAATATGCTCAAACATGTTCCTCCATGCTTGCAAGGTTGTAAGCGACATTGATCCTCGCGTAACAGTGCTAATTCTCGTTGCAGATTGATTAATTTTCTGTTCATGCTATTGACTTTTTTCCAAATTCTTGAAATATTAGACAGCGTACCATCAAAGTTTATGGGACTCTCTTTCTCTAAATTTTCAATTCTTGCTAAAATACCTTGTGGTCCACTTAGGTACTGATTTAAATCGTCATCTATGTTAGGGACGTACTGTCCAATTTGCGGTTTATCTCTATTGATTTTCAGAACGTTCACATCGCCTATAAAAATGCCCGATTTGGGTCCGTTTGGTTTTAAATATATGTTTTTATCAAAAGCTGGCTTAAGTTCTAAGTGGCCATCGAAAGTTTTAATTTTTGGACGGTCTTGGTAAATATCGCCATTTAATAGCTTTACGGACCAAACTACTAAAATAACGCATTGTAAAATTAGCGTGGACATGGTCCAGCTCTCGCGACCGATTAACGACTGCTATCCAAATATTATTGTTTTCACAAAACCGTTGCTTTGAGGGGCGGATCATTACGCCCCTCAGGGTTATGTGATACCATAGCCATATGTTAGCTGATAAATCGGATCTGATTCTAGAAGTTTTTAAATAGAAAATATAATTTTTTACACAACGTACAACTTACCAGCTCTATTAATATATTAGTACACAAATACATTTGTAATTGATCTAAAAATTGCTGTTAAAATTCTGGTATATAGTCTCGTTAGTTATTTTAAAAAAGATCATATACGAAAATAAGTGAGTTTTTTAAGTACTATTTTAAATTTTAATCGTTATTTAATATTATCGATGTCACGAGATTGTTTGAAATTGGTACGAACCGTTTTAATAAATTTAATGAAAACCAAACAAGTCAATCAAACAAAATAAAGTTTATATAATGAAAACAATTTTTGATAATGGAAGATACTTAAATAATTGGTATTTCGTGAAAAAAAGTCACTTGTATTGTTACGAGTAGTTAAGTTTTCTTTCTAACTTTGAAGTCGTTGTTACATAAAAAATAAGATTGTTGGTGTACCTCGTATCGAGCGATGTGATAATGCCGGAGTTCTAATATCAATTCAAAAGCCAACCAGTTTATTTTATTTTGTTAAAGACATTCCACGTTATGGGCATAATATCGCGTAACAAAAACACAACTGGCAAAAAAATATAAATTGCGTAATAACTGCTAGTACTGCGTCTTATAAGCCTAAGTAGGTATCACTATTCTGCAGTCCATTGTGTTTGTCGCAGGATTTTTTCAGTGGGTCGCGATTACGATCCGGCGGTAGATTCAGCGAAGCATTAGCTAGGTCTCCCGGGTTGAACCCCGTGAGCTCGCCTACACGTTTGATGAAGATAGTATAATAATAAATAGATGATGACGGAGCTTTGCTCGGTTTTTTTTTGATAACGCCATCTTGTTGTGTCTTTAAAGCGGTTAGTTGCCCTCAATTAAGAAAAATAGTATTATTATTCGCCAATAGATGTCGGGAAGAGTTGATTATTGAAAACACGAATAAAAGAACATTTTCTGAAAATAAATCGTAGCTAGATCCATTTATCGCACCCGAAATCCCCTGTTTACTAAATTTTATGAAAATCGTTGGAGCCGTTTCCGAGATTCAGATTATATATATTAATATATATACAAGAATTGCTTGTTTAAAGGTAGAAGTTAATAATAAGATATTACGGGACATCTGTTACACATTATACTGATGTTAAGGCGTCTATACACTCCGATAGCCAATCAATGGCAATGATAGGTGAGTGTGTCCATTTAGAATATAAAATTTATTTTTGACTCAAAGTTTGGTCTTCCATTTGCAATTTATAATTTTTATTTTTAAACTTGAAATTTCTAAAGCGTCTTTTCTGCTTCGATACAAAGGGGAATCGTTCTGTTTGCGAATCACGATTCAGTACGATTTCCTTGCCACCTTGCAAGTAACAATCTCAATTATTCGAAAACCTCTAATTTAATGTTGCCGACTTTTAATTTATTCGCTGAAGGGAAGTCTGATTGCAAATTGTTTTCCGTTTCGGAATTCAGCGTTCGTGTTCTGAATCATACTTTTCACTGTAGGATTGTTCATTCAAAACAATTTGGCGTAATTGTGTTGTATTTTAGGTATATACATTTAAAAAACTTTGTTTTATTATTGCTAAATTTTACTAGCAGCTGTTTTCCAATTGATATTATATTATAATTTTATTATATTAGAGTATGCAGTAAGTTCTGCTAATTTTTACCGCAAAGCAAGTCTTTTTTATATTAGATCGGACAGCCATTATTTTTTATTATTTGATTGTTTCCAATTGTTTCCAATGTAAACGACCGTCTGGTGTAGTGGTAAGTGACATGGTCACTACACAAGGGGGTCGCGGGTTCGAATCTCGCCAAGGGAAGGTATTTGTATGAAAAATATAAATGTCTTTTCCAGGGTTATGGATGTGTCTTAAATATATGTATTTGTATAATAAAAATCTTACATTTATTTCCGTTATCTGGTACATGTAACACAAGTTCTTTACGAACTTATCACGGGACCAGTTAACGTGGTGTGATTGTTAGTAAATATTTATATTTATATTATTTATATTTATAATTATAATCGTTCGTAATTTAGTTTTTTATAGTTTTCATTAATTGATCTAAAAATTACAGTATAACGCACAGTAGCAAAAAATATAGTGTACCTACAGATAAACTAAGATTTAAAAAAAAACACTAAAAAGTCATATTCGCAAAAAGTGGTTCCGATTAGTTAGATCAAATTTGGCTAAATGAACTTAATTTTCATATAGTTTTTTTCTTGTTTTTATACTATAGACGGGTGAACAAGTTCACGGTTCATCTTTTGCTATGTGGATGCCGGAGTCTATAGACATCACAACGTCCTTAAAACCAGAACGCATTACTATTTTGCGATAGACATAAGCAGGATTTTTATGCTTAGACGGTTGGTATTAGTAATGCCGCCACCCATCTTCAGACAAGAGCTCTAACTCTCACTTTTATACTATAACAGATGCCCTACATTGAAACTGAAATGCGTTACTGCTTCAAGGCAGAAATAGGCATGGTGGTGGTATCTGCTTGTCCGTGCCTCAACAACACTTATTACGTAAATTACATTTATTGCGGGTTTCATTTTATTACATGATGTTATTCCTTCGTTATTGAATTCATTCGTGAGTGTGTGTTAAGTACGTATTTCATTAGAATAAATTAGCACCAGCCTGCGGGATTTGAACACCAGCACCGGCAAAAGTCAAATACTTCCATGTTTTTGCTTGACATCTTTGTGCGGGGAATAAAAATTAAGGGACGTAAGTTTACCCTATCGGTTTGTGCTCTTCATGCATGCCGTGCTTAACACGTTTGCTGCTATGTAGGTCACCGGTACCCTACGAGGCGCACTGAAATTATTAGGACGATTTCTCTCTTCGATCTTACTAAGGCGCCGGAATATCTAGTAGACTCTGGGAAAGACGAATCCGAAGATACTAAAAATGAATCTATTTATATGAGACCTAAAAGACTAACATACATTAACAAACAAAAGAAGGCAAAGTTAGGTACTTCAGGCGGTTAGTAACAGAAATCAACATAATTAATTCAAGGCGCTACGTTGGTCACCGGTGACCTGCGTGTGCAGTAACGTGTTAATAGTGAAGCCAATGCCATTGCAATTCAAATGGTCCAATTGGTCCAGCCATTAACAAATGCTGTGACGGGTTTTTGTATTATTGTAGACTGGAATTGGTAGACTAGATTCTGCTACCACTTTACTGAATGGTTGCCGTCGCTTATCGATGTTACCAATGCTAGAGTCGTAAATAAGCCGCTGTCCACCCCAGAGAAGTCTCTTCTAATGTTCTTTAACGAGGATCATAATGCCGTGCACGTCTGGTAGCATAAGGCTATTATTGATCATGATCCTTATCGTATAAGAAGGCCTCTTCAGAATGAATACTGAATCCTGCATATTACGGATGGTCAGCAGAAAGGTCACTATGAATAGATGACTCGCAATATAAAAGGCTGGTCGCAGAGATTGAAAAAGGTTGTCCCATAAATTTTCTTTGCGAGTACACGTTCGGTAAGTGGAGTTTATTTTCCAAGATTTCAACGAAGTTCCGATCTTAGTACGTAAGAGATAATGATGTGGCTCGCTGTGTTTTATCGACTGTTTTTTAAAGACTATTTCTCGGGAAAATTGTACCATGTAGGAGAATTTGTGTTTTTCGATCAGGTTGATTGGTGGTAGGACCTTTTGTGAGTCCGCACGGGTAGGTACCAACGCGCCGTCTATTTCTGCCGTGAATCATTAAGGGGGTCCCGGTTTGAAGCGTGGGGCAGCCGTTGTAACTATACTGAGACCTTAGAACTTATATCTCAAGGTGGGTGGCGCATTTACGTTGTAGATGTCTATGGGCTCCAGTAACCACTTAACACCAGATGGGCTGTGAGTTCGTCCAACCATCTAAGCAATAAAAAAAAGCTGTGTGGCATTATTGAGACTAGGTCACATCGTTATTTTTAAAATACGGCAAACTCTTCAAGTCGTATCGCTAAAAAGGGAAAGGGTGCGTTTCGGAGGTCATAACTTAGCTCGAATACATACTTGAGGAAGTTTGAACTTTTGAATCCGATCCACTAACACAGCGAAAGTTGGTTTTCCCTACAAGTTACATGATCATCTTACGAAATAAAAGTGTATGTAAACTGCATCAGTACTCGTATTGACTTTTGAAAAGCAATACAGAATAACTAGACCAGAGAATCATAGGATGAGTACGGTTATTCATAAGATGATACGACAGTCCAAGAACCTCTAACTTATTTAATTGTATTACCCTAACTCCTTGTTCCTACTAACGAAGGTATTTCCTCGTATCCAGCTTTTGCTAACTACCTATATTCTAGAACGTATTGTATACTGGCACGAAAGAATATTATCATTATAGCACGTTTAATCCCAACTAGTGAACGATGAAGTAGCCGTTCAAAATACAATTTTTCTTCTTCTTCTTCTTCTCAGTCGTGTCACTCTTGACAGAGTGGTCGTGATCGTCATGTAGTGTTGGAAGGGGCAGACTTGATGCGTCTCACGATGTCGCGCCATCTCTCCCTGCTCGAGGCCATTCTACTGCACTCATTTAGGGGACCTCCCACTGCAGCTTTAATTTGGTCGGTCTACCGCATTGGTGGCCTCAATTAATTATTAAAACATTAAGTTCACGGCTCGAGGTGGGTGGCAGGGTTTACTTTGAGGTTTCTTTTGGCTCCTAGAATCACTGAACACCAGTTGAATCCTAACCTCGCCTTCCTAAGCTGTCGCAAATTTGTTTTATTAGAAATTTTATTATATGGAGGAGAATAACCTCACCCAGAAGGATTCCGAAGACCGGGCAAAGTGGAGTTTAAGTAGGA